GCTGGAAATCAGTGGTCAGATTTAGCTGGAGGAAAAAAAAGATTCCTGGAGGCAAAAATATAATTCCGTTAAATTTAGTCTTACGGTTGCTGCTGTTGTTTGTTTGTTGTTATCATTATTATTATTATTATTATTATTATTGTTATTATTATTACTATTGTTATTAATGAGTTATCACTGAATTTTCTTTTCTATGAAAATAGTAGGCGTCAAAACTTTTCTATCTACCGAGCAGGAATGCCTAGAGTTATATTTTACAAAATTCTCTGGTTCGATGATCGCGGACTTTCCTTGATGACTAATATTTTTGATATCTACATTTTTGGATATGTTGGTGCTGTCTTGAATTCATCTTTCGTCGACAATGAGCCTTCATTATTCCTTGTTGTCAATGACGCAGTGGAATTTCCACAACACTCAGTGCAAAAAGCAAAAACTTATCTCTAGCAAACCAGTTGGGGAGGAGAAATTTTGGCTTACCCCTCGATATTCTAAAATATTACAGGTTTAGCCACTACATTCGTGTATCTAATAAACTTTTAGCCCTTAAACCGTACAAATAACCTAGATCAAGTCTTGGGAACAATTCAAACTAGGATAAAGCACGTCTGAGTACTATTTCATTAGAAAACTAATCTGACGGGAATAAGCGGTTTTCTGTTGTTGTAAGAAAACTCGAAATATTCTTGGAAATTTTTTGGAGTACATACCTGGCTCACATGGAGAAATTAAAAGGATACATATTGTACATCAAACAGGTTTAAATCATCTGATGATTAATATTATCTCAACCTCAAAACTTATTGTGGTATTCGTAGAGCCTTCATAACTTAGTAAGAGAGCGCTAGAAGTGCGGTCTTCTCACAATTGAAGCACTTGACGACTTCCAATTCATTAGAACAAGGTAATAATAAACTCTGAAATAACAGAAGAGCCTGACGCGGACTAAGTCGGGATTATATTCGATGTTAGTATAGCCGACGTGATTTCTCGGAACAGTACAGGGGATTCTCAATGTTCAGGTAGCATTAATTTTTTAAGTTAATATTTCAGAGGATGTAAAAAATTGTATTTCACCAACCCTCCTGCGTTGAATAAACACGAGTCGTTTCTCTTGTGTTAGAGCACATCATTAAGATGATTGACGTTTGCACTTGTGGTGTGTGATTCCTTTCAAATAGCTTGCATTGAGATCCATTTTGCACCATTTGTTAGATAACTTTGCCTCCAACGTCATCATAACTATTTGGAACCACAGGGTTCTCCTAACTCACGCAGTCCCAACAACGAAAACACCAGGCAAAAAAAAATTAAAATTTTGATCAGTACAACAAGTATGCAAATTTCAGCGCAAAGTTTGGTTACTATGTACAGAATTTCTTTCATTTATTAATCAAAATCATCCTAGTTAACTCTGTTTGCAAAGTGCAATTGTCCTAAAAGTCATTGAAGTGTCGATACTGAAGTTTCATTAAGTTGATCTCAAATCATGACAAAGAGGTTTGTAACTGAAAGAAATTATCATGTTTATGGCATATTTTTGTACAGTCTTTATTATTTCACCATCCGTGAGACTCAACCTTCAGCTAACTTATTCAGTTTCAGTCCTATTCAACAAAAGAAAGAGCCATGAACTTGGAGTTTAATTATTGATAGGATAAATCTTTTACTGTGGAAGTATATACAGACTTCCAGTCAAGCTTCTTTGATGACTTTATAGGGAAGACATGAATTGCGAAACATGAAAAACTGAATTTTTGCAAGAGAATCGATATTCCCTATGATACTGGACAAATATATGTAAGCTCAAAATCTCGTCCCTCGTAAGAGTTCAGAATGGTTGCTATGATGTAGGAGATTTCTGTTCCTTAGATTTCGTTGGGTGCTAGCTGTTAATATCCTTTCCTTCAAGTGGAATACTATTAGCCAGCTGAATAAATATGTTACAAGAAGTTCATTTTGCTTTACGTCAACCAAATCAAAACAGTCTAGCCCTTGTGAGAGTCTAGGTAAGATTAGTGGTACTTTTTCCGCCTCAAAATCAAACGGCGATTTACTTTCCCAGTGCTTCGTTTTTATTACCATACCAATTTTCTCCTTCTTTCGTGGCTGAGAACCTCTTTTTCAGCCATAGCCCTACTTCCAAAGAGCAGCCTCTTTCATTTGTTTAGTCATAGCTCTTTGAATTGGTTTACAGACAAAGTAATTGACAGAGACATTGTCCCTAACACAATATGCCTATTAAACAACCATGCTTTGAGTGTCAATAATTTTGAAGCCGGTACGAACACGCGAACACGAATCAAAGTCAACAAAAACAAAGCAAAGTAAATTTTTTCCTCTTTATGACCGTGAGTTCTTTGAAAGTTTAGGTTATTGAAAAGAAGATAGAAAAGGTAAGAACTTATTTTCCTAATTTATATTTTTTAATTCCTCGTGAAAAAGGCGGGTTTTCAAGGGTGTAAGGTTTTTAAGTTTTGATCAATGTCCGTTACCAAAATTGTTTTCATTCAAGCCGTTTTCGGGCTTTTTAAATACTGGTGTTCTGTCCTTAATTTTGGTTTTCGATGTATAGCTCGGAGAGATATTTTATTGGAGAGCTATTTGTATACACAGAGTATCCATTAGAAAGGTGGGTTGTTTACGTTAGGAGGAAGACTGTCTCGCAAGAATGAGTTTTGAATGATCCAATCCCAAATTTACACAATTTTGTCACATGAACTTTATTTGACCGGTTCTTGCTAAAACTAAGCGTTTATAGGCGTTTGTAAATTACTTGAACTGTTCTTCTTTGACCTTGAGTAACTTGATCACAGAGGCGCACTTTGAAATTAACTTTTTCCTCGGTCAATACGAGATTTTTTGTACTTCAGACATCCATTATATGATAAACAAGAAGTTTTTTGACATGCATAGAAATAGGAAATGTGCTCTATCGTTTCAATTCAGTTTAGCAGGCATAAGTAAGACTGGTTTTGATTGCAACTATGGGAGACATTTCCTTGCCTAGTTGGGTTGGGTATGAATATCAAATTCGAGCTTAATTAATCTGGATTTGAAAAATAAAATTTATTGGAAAAGTTTTGTCATCAAAGTACACGACACGTAAGCATTTAGCATAGGTTTAATAGTAAACTTCATTTCATTGGACAGATTGGGAACAACCAACCGGTCTGACCACTAATTTTTCTTGTAAGAATGGTTTGTGTCATCTAAAAATAATTCTTAAACCAATGCTTTGCTGACTTGTTTTATCGAGAATCATTCTACGTGAGCCAGTGAGCAGTAGCAAGGCCAAAGAGACTTCTTTCACAATGTAAGCCACTACTCCTGCCGATTTTGATTTTCTTATTTGTTTGATGTAATTGAAATATAAAATTTCTTCTGGCTTTTTCTTTTCAGTTAACCTCACAGTTCTGAAGATTTTGGTGGTAAACACGAAGGCAAATTACAGTTTATTTCAATACTAAGCGCTCTGCTTTAAACTGCGAGCCACAGTTGCGATAGATATGTGTGTTTAAAGGAACCATTACAGTTTATAAACGTCTGCAACCTCTTTTCCTGCTTAAGTTCCTTACCATGCTCAGACATAATTCTGATACATCTCGATCGACAGCCATCCCTTCCAAATAAGATTTATCGGAGGACAGATTCAGTGCTGAAACAAAAGTAGTTAATCAAAATGTTTTCTTCCTGGCCCCTCAAAAGCCACGCTTCCACCGCTTTTAAAGCATCTCTTAAAACGACTTAAAATTGTGGGAGAGGATTATCTTTTGAATAAGTACTTGGAAAATATGGCTGCTAGGTAGTCATCTCAAACTTACGGGAGTAAAACACAGTGTCTTAATGGGGTGAACCGTTAGCCGTAAAAAGGCCAAAAAAATGTAGCCGTTAGGCCTAAAAATTGACAGATTTTAACCGATAGTCATAAAAAAAAGTTAAACGTGAAAATTTTTCTGGTAACTGCAACGGAAATTAATGGCGTTATTTGTAAAACAGCCAAATTTTTAATCGTTATCCGTAAAAGCAATCACTGCATTAAGACCCTCAAAAAAAAATAAAATTCAGTGTTGATTGAAGCTTAAAAGTTGGAAAAAAAAAACGCTTCAGATGACAGGAGAAACAGGAACTCAAACAGATCAATTTCACAAGATTTTTAAATCATTTATTACTATTAAGGAATCTCATCAACAAGTTGTAATACGTTCAAGGAAAATGCTGATCCAAAGTTTCATAGAAAAGCCATTGTAGTTATTACAAAACATTTGAAATCTCCATGCGCTGAAGAAAGTTACAAAGAATCGAGAAATGCAGGAGACACATGCAAAATTCTTATCTTTACCCATATCTGAATTATCTTGTCTCTGAATGAAGTTCTGTTGTCATTTTTGCGTCGAATTTGGATCATGTAAAAGAAATTTCAATGGAAACTACACTGCTGACATCAACAACTATGAACTTTTATGAGCCGTTTAGATCTTTTCTGTGTAATTTTCAATATGTCATCCGTGTTTCTTTCTCGTAGACGTTTCCTTGATTTTGGTTGGAGTTTTATGTTTGTTTATTTCTAAACAGATCACCGACACAAAATGGTGGTAAAAATTGCGACCTTCTGGATTTCTTTTTTCGCGATGTCATTTTTGGTTTTCTGTCGCGCAGCGAATAACAAGTCTAGTCAAACATCAAACAGCAAAGTGGTAAGTTTTAAAATTCTTTTGATAACTCTTAAAAAAGTTCTTGGAATAAGGGTTCCTTTCTCCACGAAAAAGAGCTAACCAGTACTTGTGTAGGATAAAAAATATTAGAAATTTTAGATCCATGTCACTGAAATATGTCCCGATGAGAACTTTATGAATTATTTTATTAGAACTTACAAGAAGATATAAGCATAACAATAAACTTAAACGAAAAATTTGGGAAGCCTTAAAACTATTGTGAAAAATGATGGAAAAATACTATTGAAAGAAAAATCTTTGTATTAATGTACGTCTGCAAGTTCTATGGTTTCAAAAATTATTTCACATTCATACCAGCAACCTCCACCATATTTTTATGCTGGGATTCCTGGTATGCACGGAAAGCCTGGGTACCCTGGTACACCTGGTCGTGACGGCCGTGATGGACGCGAAGGAGTTAAAGGCGACCGAGGCAGCCCAGGGAAGACTGGACCTCAGGGACCTCCAGGCCTCAAAGGAACTCCGGGTGTTAAAGGAGAACCTGGAGTACAGGGTCCTCCCGGCCAGAAGGGGCAGCGGGGAGAAAGTGGGAAAAACGGAATCCCTGGGACTCCTAGTGTGATGTCTTTTAAGAACTGGAAAGAGTGTGCGTGGAAGAACGTAAATGACGGCAAAGACAACGGCCTGATTAAGGTGAATAGCTATAATATTGAGACGAAAAATAATTTAACATACAACTGCTGTAGTATCAATTTACTTTTTTAGTTTCTCCGTTTGCAAAAATATTAATTTCTCAAAAACAACCAAGTCACGCTAACTAAGTCTCTCCTGAAGTTTTGCTTACGGTCCATGTTATTTTATCTGTATATCTTCGGTCCTCCCTAGTGATTCTTTTCTTCATTTCTCGTCTCTCTTTTTCACAGGAGTGTGTGTTTACCAAGAACTTTTCCGACACATCTCTCCGTGTTTCCTGGACTGGAGCTCTTCGAGTCTATGGCTGCACCATTTGTTGTAAACGCTGGTATTTCACTTTTAACGGTGCTGAATGTTCAGGTCCCCTACCAATTGACGGTATTGTGTACCTGGGTAGTGTGAAGTCTCTTGATCCTGCCCGTGTCCGCCATATTGAGGGTCACTGTAACAACATCCACAAAGGCAAGGTGCGCGTTGGATTCTGGGTCGGTAATTGTCAGTCAAATAGTCGAAATGGTTACGATGCCTTCACTGGCTGGCAATCAGTGTCGCGGATCTATGTTGAGGAAATCCCGAAACCACAAGCTTAGATTTCGAAACTTAACATTTATTCCTGCATAAACGCTCTGACTGGTATCAATTAAGGTGCTTTTAAACATGGGTTTGCTTCGTAACAGTTGCTGATTTCCTGATGAATAAAGAGCAGGAAGAAAATGGAGAATATTTTGACTGTTTGTGTTTTGCTTCCTTCTTTCTCAACGTACTTTACTGATACCAAACACTTCGACATATTTTTCAGACTTTGAACCTGTCTTGTTACTCCAACTTCGAGTTCTCTGATTCCTTGTGATATTTTCGTTGGTCTTGATGAGCCTTTGTGATTTTTTTGAGTTTTGTGACTTCAAGACCGTGTTTTCATCACGCTTAAGATATCTGAAAAACACCATTTTGACAGGGTTAGACCATTTGTTCACACTCAATTCGAATGAGATATCGATTTGGGAAGGCCTTTCAGAAGGCGCTCAGCAAAAGGTTAACTTTGACAAAACGTAACTTTAGCTGTTTGGTTAAACCTACCGTCCTCACTATTGTAGGTCATAAAGTGACATCATTGCATTGCTCTTTGTATCTTTTGACGGTACAATGACCCCTTTATTGCGCAGATGCGTTCGCGGATGCAGTCAAGAGTTTCCACCTTCGGCGATAATTGTACTTTCATTCAAACTTATCCATTTGGCGAAAAAGTGGTTTAGGCGTTTTACACCAGCATTTCCAAGTACGCTTCTTTCTGCCTACGCTTTTAATGTGCAGACTGGACACGGCCGCGGAAGAGGCTTGGGTCTTGGGTCAATTTTCTCCCGACCAGGCGTGTTACAGTCAATTTTGCGTTCCTGTATCACAAGGTAAGTAAGGTGCTTGTGGTAATTGACCGTACCACACTTGGTCGAGAGAAAATTAACCTTCGACCCAAGTCTTTTCCGCGGCTGTGTCCTTTCTGCACATCAAGCATAGGTGGAAAGAAGCGAACTTGGAAATGCTGGTGAAAAACGCTCGTTGTCAGGGTAATGCGCGGGGAGTTTTGGAATTGGGAAATTTTTCAGGGTACAATGATCTTAGATCATAAACCTTGGGTGAAAAAACATTGCCGATCGTTGTCCATCTCCGCGAGGACAAAGGTCAAAATTGTAGTATGCAACCTTCACTTCATCTAATAACAGGAATAACAGTGATAGCAAAGCAAGCCCAAATCGACAGAGAACTCTAGAAGCCACAACGGACACAAGTAGTGAATAGCTTTTATCTATCTCGTGTAAAATGTTTATATTTCGGAATATTTAGCGTTTCAAATCGACCATGTTTCGTTCCCCATACTATTCCGAATAGCGCGTTCAAATTCTCAAAGGTCTCTCATGACATTGCGTCACACAACTCGTGACGCTTTCACGAATTAATAATTTGCTTTTTCTCAAGATGTGAGCTCGGGACGCTGTGGTTTATCTTAGCATCTTATCGATCACATAAGGCGTGCACACACACACACACACACACACACACACAAAAAATTTGATGAACTTTTGATGTTCGTTTCTTAAAAAGTCAAGCCTGATAAGCAGAAATAATCAAAATTTGCATAGTTCAGTGCGACGATTTTGTTACTTCGCTTTCCATCCGTATTTTTGATTTGCCCTGTTATACAGTGTGATACCTATTTCCTAATATGGTAAAATAATGTAATGGCAGAATAATAAAAATAATTAAATATCTCGAAGCACTTTCAACCACTTTAAAAATAGTGTCTGGAAAACATAAACTCTCATATTTATTCTGGTTATGAATTAGCAGTAACGTAGCATTTGGAACGAGCTCATATTCGTCTTACCTGTGATTAAATGTGTGGTGGAAAAAACGAAAATTGACGTCTAATATCATGCAAACAAGTCAAAACTGAAAGTTTTAAGAATGTATATACGGCTTTACTTCACTTCTGTTATATCGATAGTTAATTCATTTCGATAACTCGTAACAACTCTACATCAATTTATTCTTTATCATTTTTTTGAGGAACGGAAGAGCCCTGACTGGACTAGAGTGAGAAATACTGCAGCAGAAGTTTGATAAAGGACACTGCATTGGACTTGAATAGGAGAAAACTCTTAGCGTTATAGAGTATTGAAATTTTTTACCAACGAAAAGAACCGGTTACGTAGATTTCGATGTTGGTTTTAGCAAATATTTTAGTCACCAAGTTATTTGGATACTCTCAGTTTACAAAACTTTTTCATTTTTTACTCGGGTTCTAGAATGCAGTAGTAGAGAAACCCTATTGGAATTTCTCTTTTGGCAGCTTCTACGTAAGGTGAATTCAGTAAGAATTTTGGTCACGTTGTGTATCGTTTACTAAAGACTTTTTTGAACGAAAAACTGAATAGCTTAGTTTTAGACTCGTCAAGACTTTAAAAGTGTAATATTTAGAGGTTTTGAGAAGAAAATAAAAATCAGGGGATCCTCTTTGGTTCAGATGGCGGAATAATGAAAAAATAATTAAATGTTTAAGAGTATCGACTGAATGTGACTGTTTTGGAGCTACGACGTAACCAGTGACTAGTTATTCCATGATGCATTATGTAATTTTTTTTATGGGAATACTGATCCAGTGAGTCATTTTCCTTAATTTATTCTGCATTAAATATTTTAATGAATTAGCCCTGACGCCTCCTGTTAGACTTTCGTTCATCAAACACTAATTGCAGACTGTTCAGACTTTCGTTGTTTCCAGATTAAGCCTTGCATGGGCGAGAGCCTGAAGAAAAAAGACCAAAATAAATATCCGTGAAGGCAGTTTGAAAAACAATTTTACACAGAGCTCAGGTTGGCACTTTTGAAGAACCCTACGGTGCTCTAAAAATACTGCAAAACCCGCAAAATATCCGTCCGTATCGTTTGACCACCAATTCAGGTGTATGAAACAAATTGAAGGAAGAATTTCTACCATGAATTTAACAATTGACTGTGCTTTGTTCTGTTGTAAAGCAAGCAGGAAGTGGCTGAAGCCAGAAAGAAGTGTAGGGAGAAACACGAGACGTAGTCAAGTGTTTCTCTCTACTTCTTGCTCACGATGACGCATTAATGTAAAGGAAATAGGGGCTTATTAAGGCCATAACTTGTGTGCCCTCTCGGCAGACAGGCGAAAAGAAATTGGATTTTTTAATGCGTCATTTCGCTGCATAATACAGTCGTAAGAGAAGCACTAAAGGGATGGCCATAGCGACATGTTGCTTTTAACATTCGGCTTCAATTTTTGTTACACAAAACTCAGTGCGGTAACAACCAATTTAATTTTTTTAGCAATCATTCATTTCGTATCTAAGCTTTTTAAGACAGAGTAATGTAAACTCAACTAATACCGGAAATTTTTGGTAACACTTACTAAACACAAGTTTAAAGACAATTGACACGGTAGAGGAAAAGCACAAAGTTACTACGTGTGATGAATAGCGAACGCAGTAAAGTATTGCGCAGTATAAACTATGCAATAATAGCTATAGATAACAGGATGCCTTGAAAACATATTTTAGTAAGGTAGCGTTACTGATATTACGCGAGGGTTTTTTCTTGAATTATACAATTGAACGACGTTTGGTACATAAATCAAGCGTAGCAGGCCTCATTGGTACTGAACTAGTGCCAAAATAAAACGCACCACAGAAACGTGGGTCTAAGAAGAGAAGATGATAATTGGTTTAAGCTGGTATTGTCTAAGTCCTTCTTATCAGTCCCCTGTCAGGAAAGACACTTTGAAAGCAGATTGTCAGCTCGGTTTGACTATCCATTCTACGGCTCTTTCAAACCCATTTAACATGGTCACTCGGCGACAGTTTAACAGCCACTTAGCAGGAAACACGCGATTTTGGCAGCGGAGGAAGTTGCGGACTATTAACCCGTTATAATCAGCCACTGAGGACCACGTTTGCTTGCGATTACTCTGGAAATGGACCTCAGAAGCCACTAAAGCAGCTCGGAGGAAGGTGATGAACTCTACACTGTGGTCTTGGTACTCGACGAAAGCCTGTCTCGCGTCGGAATAGGCGATGGCATGACTTTTGGTGTCTTCAAGGACTTTCTTGCGAAAGTTGTCTCCTCGTGTCAAGTCGCATGCAAATTTGGCAGCCCTGAATTGCCAATCTGTAAACTGGACCCAGTTCTGAAATTCGGTGATGATGACTGATAAAGGGTTATTGAGATTCATGTGAGGTAACAACGTGTCCAGAAGTGTCCCCAGTGGTACAAAGTCAGCGATGTTTGAGGTTGTCACTCGATCATACTTCCGGTCTGGTGGAAGGAATGGAGTTATCTCCATACAGTTGCACAACAGGAAGTGAAATTTCACTTGCCTTGTCGCCAACCTCACAGAGCATTTCTTGAGCACTTGACCAACATACTCACTGTACATTTTCAGAATTGATGGTGCTCTGCTCACACGGCAGACATCGTTGTAATCCCATGATAAGAAGGGAGAGACAGAAGACTGAATGATGTAAGAAAATGGGCCTCTATTACGACTGTTCTGATAGTCAGAGCCTGTCAAAGTGAAATTTTCAAAAAAAAGTGCGCCTCTTGATTCCTTGGACGACAGGATCCCGTTGGCAAACCAATCTGATGCAGACTTTTTATGCTCTTTCGGGATTTCGGCCAAGTACAGTTTCATACCTTCCTTCGCTTGGGGGTTGTCAAAGCGCCTACGTCGAGCTTCTGATATCCATTTTTCCTTCCGTGAGCTAAGGTTCAGCCAAGTGCGCCACACGTGTGTGACCTCTTTAAGTTGGTTTTGCTCCATCCTCATGGTGTCTCCTGTCAGCTCTTCAAGGCTGGACGTTTGGATCAGCTCTTCCAGGGCATTGATGACCAGCTTATAGTCATCTTCGCTGAGACGCAGTGAATACCAAATCTGCGTCACGGAACTTGCAGCTTCTTCTCCGCCTATAGAAGAAAAAAAAAACAACAACAACAAAATGAAATATTAACCTTTGCTTTCTACACTTATTCAGATCCCTATTGTCTGTAGTGATCCAAATTGTGAGGGAATTTTGAAACTGAGTTCTGAATCTTCATTGCACCGGGAGATGCCAGCATTTCTTGAATAAAAAATCTAATCATTTAGTAGACATTGTATTATTGTTTTTTAAATGGACACCCTTTGACAACATATGTTGCTCGATCAGCGCTGTAAAATAAAGAAATGAATCGTAACATGAGGCCCGTCTGGAAATTGGTTGATGAAAGCGTCAGTCTTGGTCATGGTAACTGGGTTGTTAACATTCCACAAGCATACAAAAGATCCAGCCCTACATCTTTCTGGTTACAAAATTCTCCCTCCAGCATCAGGGCCTGTTTACATGGAGGTGGGGGACCCCAGGTAGGTGAGGTAACCCGCTAGGGCGGGGTAACTCGCCTGTGCATATAATCTTTTATTTCATCTTGATCCCTTTAATATGATAAGTGGATTCAGCTGAGGGTTGCCCGGTCTGCTGGATAGGGTAACCCTGTCAGCCGGGGTCGCAATTTGCTATGTAAACGTCTCAAGGTGGAGTAACCCACCTAGCCGGGGTCGCGTTCATATTACATTTGCCAACAACCTTATCCCGGGATCCTATGCAGGGTTGTTAGTTGTATGTAAACGCCCACGGCTCGGTGGGCTTCCTCAGTTACTTGGGATCTCCCACCTTCATGTAAGCAGGCCCTGATTATACAGTCCCAATTTTAGTCCCATGGTGTTCTACAAGACCCTGATCCATTTTTTAAAACTGATCTGCTGATGCACAATTCGATTTCCTTGATTAACTGATTTGTGACTCTAATTGATGTAATCATATACCTTACCTTTGAATATCATATAGAGTAAAAGTATCGTTCTGGCCAGTGTACAGGCGCAGATGTCATTCAAGACAAAGGTCAGCTCTTCTTGATAAACTTCTGGAAGCTTCGAGACGGACAATACGATATTGCGTGGGTCACCAACGCCACATGCAAGGACTGAGATAGGCTTTGAATACTCAGAACCTTCGTTCAGTGGGAATTTTATAAGATCTTGTGCAGGAATGTTACCCCAGTAGTAAACTGTTGCAGTGCCAGGCGAAAACTCTACAAGGTCGTGGTGTTTCTTGATGTTTAAAGACATTTCTCTTGTATTTCTCGTCATTTTTTGACAGGATGCTTTGTGTGCGGGCCAGGATTTCTTTAGGCAAGCCTGATTGCAATACCAAGCTTGCAGGCAGCTACCACACTGTTTCAATCGGCTGCTTTCCTTGCTGCATCCGGAACATGTCCTCTTTAAGGTGGCAGCTTGGCAGTCCACTTGATGTCGAAACAGATCCCTGTTCTTGCAAGTTTCGCTGCAGTAATAAGCTACTTCGCATCTACTGCAGCACACTTTCGGAGTAGGTGACTTACAAGAAACATCACATCGCCAACATCGATCATTCTTCAGCATTTTCGCCAAATTATCTCCCTGGATGTGCGAAACCAAAACGATTTCACAATAGCGGGAGGCTTATTGGAATTGCTGCGCATGCGTAATATAACATTTTTCTTTCCTCGAAAGGAAGCCGGTTTCCGAGAATCGGTCACTACAAACGTCTGCATTCTTTACGAGCCACAAAATGATAAAAAGTGTTTTTTGGCTATCATCAGTTTTTCAATAGGAAAAGAACCAGAATAACGACATAAACATTCACACCCCTCTGTTCCGTGGCCACAAATATCTCTAACAACTTTTCATATGTGGTCGAAGAGTCATACACCAAAATATCTTACACAATGACAGTAAGAGCATAGGTTTACATTGCCACCTGTACTTGTTAGTCAAGTTGACGGGAATTGTTTCCACGTCATATCCGGCATAATCTGTCTTCGAAAACGCCTCTGTTCTCAGTAGCGGCGTCAAAAATAGATGAGTAGGACAGGTACAAAATGTAGCAGGTCAGTTTGAAGTTCATTTTCACTCTAGATTTGAGCGAGAAAATTATTATATGTTGTTGATTGAAATTTGTATAAAATGAACACACGGCACTTGCTTAGCTGCGAGCCTTCATGAGGGGCAAGGAAACCAGAGAATTCAATTTCAGTGCAAGAATCGAAAAATAAATGTTGTTTTGAATTGAAGCCCGGAGTAAGGTTACTACGGAAACGCGATGACACAGTTCTCGAGAGGTAGGGAGGGGAGGGGTGGGAAAGTAGACCTTGGCCTTTTAGACGGCGGTGGTTAATTACTTGCATGGACATGTTTAATTTCCCTAATTAAGTCTAACGCGAATGAAATAAATTAAATGACAAAAGGATGGCAAGTCAGACAAGTCTCTTTGGCGACGAAACTCGTGTCATTTGAGATCAATTTGCGAGAGAGCGTTTCAAGAGACTAAGACAAGGAGCAATAATCGATTATGACCTCTGCTTTTAAACTGAAACAAGGAGTCGCCATAGGAACAGCCTAGTATTAGCACCAACTGAACACCTCTTTAGTTGGATTACAGGATTAGCAGGCGATAATCATGATAATGATATTGCCTACGGTAGTTCGTTTCCCTCTCTCGCTTCTATTTTCCTTTGTTTCTTGAGTTAATACGCCTTGATTGATTCGCATATCATTATATTCTTTGTCAGAAACATAGTGTCGGTTTCTTGTTATGAACAATTCAATATCACGGAAACATGAAAAAAAACCTCGATCGAAAGGAAATAGAACATTAAATCGGAATTAAAACTCTAACACCATGAAAATTAAAAGACAAACGAACCAAATTAGGAGAAAAGAGGCTTGGCTTTCTTTGTTAGAAGCCACTTGAGGTTCTTAGTGTGTAAACATTGTGGCATTGAAATCCAGACAATTGACTTTGAATTCAAATCGCACTAGGCCATTACCGCGCACTCTAAAAATAATATCATTAATCATGTACTGTCTAACAAAATTGCTTTGCCGTGATTCCTTGAGTTAAAATCTTTTACTTTTCGATAAGAAATTTTTTCAAAGAATAATTTTATCAAAGGTTTTGCGAAAATGTGGGTTGTTTTGTATCGTTTGTTTAAATTGCGAACATGAAATTCAAATTAGTGGTTGTTGCCGGATAATTAGTAAGGCGCGCTTGGGGCTCGTTGCCTAGCAACACAAATTTATAAAGAAAGAAAAATCACATTCACATATTCAAATGAATTTTAAACGAGGTTGCGGAAAATGGACAGCAAATTCAATAACGTATTCCGCGGTGGGAAAGCAGGGTGAACAAATCAATAATTCCCAAACAATTTGATATGGAGACAGCTGACGATCCGAATGTAGAAGCGGGCAGTAAAGAAAGAGACCTGATCGAAAAGCTACTCGATTCTAGCGAGAGTAGTGCGGAGGAAGATTTTGACCGAGTCGTGTTCTCGAGCAGCTGGGATGAGGTCGCTTGTGGATGGAAACACACAGCGCCGAACGTTCGATATATTTCTTCTGCTGATCGAAAGAAGAAGACTAAAGATAAATATTGGCGAAGTAGCCCGGATTCTGAAAGCCATTACGCTAAAGTGAAGCGTCTCGCTGGAATGATCACAAATTCGAATTCGAACGTAAATAGCGTCACTGAAATAAACAAAGTGAAAGCTGGAGGAACGTGGCCGGGAAATAAGACGGTGAGGACAAATATGCGGAATTTTCAAAATGCTGATGTGCTATCTTACGATAATCCTTGTTGGAGATATATTATTGATCCACGAACGTTGGAATACGTCGAGAGAACTCCGCTCCAAGTGCTCAGAAACATGACCACCTCTCATAAGTATCCGAACCAAACACTCGTTCTTGAGAACGGTGGTATGATCACTTTTCAAGAGACCAGTAATGGAAGTATTTCTATCAGCGATCCGGCCCAGACGTTTGATCGTCGTCTCGTGGAAAACCTAGATCTTAAGGGAGAGTACTCTGTTGATAAGGGCAGGTTTCCTTTCAGTTTTGAGCCTTCCGTTCGTGTTCCGTTGATCACCCAGTACCGAACAGAAGATCATAAAATCAAAGTGATACACGCGGTAACTGCGCGAAAGGAAAACTCTGTGGTTTCATTCTGCGATTTATGCCAATTAGGAACTCAGGATATCGTCAAACCGTCTTCTAAACTAGAGATCAGTACGAACAGTTCAACGGAGCTTAAACCTTTACAGAAGATCACACCAATACAGCGGCAAACAGCTGATGATAGCCTCTTGGCCAGTAAAGTTTTGGGATCACATTCTAAGAGATCGGACAATTCTACTTGTTCAAAAGGGTCGAAAAAATCGAAGGAACAGAAGGTTGCGAGCCAAAAAAGAAAGTTTGGCCCAGGAGGGGAGGGTAAGTTGGACTGGCTACCAATCACTAGGAACACCGTCGGATACCCATATCCTTCAACAGCTGTGAGTCAGCCTCACGGTAAATTTCCTGAAAGACCATCAGGTGGTTTCACCAAGGCATTCTCTTTACCAAAGCGCAATAAGAAAGGAAAGAAACTGACTCTAAGTGAAGCTGCAAATTTAGTTCCAAGTGGGGGAAAGCTGGATGATGCACTGAAAAAACTGTCTCAAGAGTTAGACAGAAAGGTGGAAAAAGGCTTAAGCTTTTCTGAGCCTTTGTTGCCAAGTGTTTCTGGAACAAAACTGGAAGTGCCAGCTTTGGCCAACATGTGTGACAACTGATGTCAGAGAATTCTATAAATCATACTTCATCAGGCATGCAAAATATTGGAACTTCCACAGTATCAGGGCAGACAGTCAAGTCTAACCTGTGATAAAAAAAAAAAAAACCCTACACAGCGCATTACACTACTGCCTTTAAGTCTATAAGTGTCATGAGTTGCTGGAAAAAGAAGTTGATCACTAAATACTACTGAAGAAGGAGTAGAGCTTACCATAATCATCTGTGTTTTTTCCTTGATTGTGGTTAACCATTTTTTATCTTCTATAAGTGAAATGTACAGGTTTCAAGTCAAGATGAATAATACAAAAGGCAGGACTGAATTTAAAATCTTGGTTGCGGATTTTTATATATCATCTCTGAAGTGTAGAGTGATGGCAATGATATAAAAAATTATTTTTATTTGAAGAAAATTTAAAACAGTACAGTCATTATTAGCGTTAGGAATAATTGATAAGGAAATGAACAATGTAAATAGACAATTTTTTCTCAGTAATTTTCAGCTTTAAGGATAATCATACTCAACAATATCAGGAAATTTTTCAGTGTACACATTCAGCTCAATCACTTCGTTTGTAATATAATGACAAATGCATAGTTCTCTATTTATTGAATAAAAACAACATCAACTTCAATCAGTAAATGTTTGAATTTATTGTTTCTTGATCAGCTCGGTAAAGTCTTTTTTTGTGGCAAAAATTGAAAGTAAATGGTGACAAATGTAGATGGGCAGGGTGGGGGGAAGAAGAAAGCAGAACTTTCAATCATACAATTCTTCACCAGGGAGTTGGAATGTCCCAGTAAGAGTACTTGCCTCCCAATGGCATTTCCAGAGTTTGATAACCAGCTCCATTATAACATGGTTTGAGTTGTTGCTCCTCATCCTAGGGTGGGGATGCAGCTGCCCAATGGTCCGTACTGGACTCTGAATCAAGAGGTCTGGGTTTCAGGCCTGGCTGGGTTCTTGTGTTGTATTCTTGGGCAAATCACTTTACTTTAACAGTGCCCCTCTCAACTCGGGAGTCTAAATATGTATTGGAAAATTGTTGAGGAAGTCTGATGGAATGTTGGGGGGAGGGGGGAGGGAGGTAGCCTTGTGATGGTTGTAATAGACTGGCATCCCAATCAGGGGGGAGAGTTAGTACTCCTAATCACTTCAAGCATTATAAACTGGGATAAGCTCCAGCTTGATGGGCCACTTGGCTGGAATTCAGACAAATTTCTTGTAACTAATTGTGTAGCAGCAAGAGTAGAAAATTAACAATCAGATATTGGGAGTTGAAAGATAAATAATGCAACCCATAGAGTTACATCTATTTTATTTTGCAATGTTTATTGCATTTTTTAGGAATGCTACAAACTACTATGTCTGAGTTTCAACACTGGATGTAGGACAGTTGTGATCAACAACACTTGAACAGGTTTGTGTTTGACAACCTGTGGAGGTGACTGAACTACTGCCAAACTGTTCAAACGTTCGTGATGCGTGTGAGCAGCATGAATCTGTCTGGACACTGGATGACAACAGACTTGAACAACCCAAGTCACTCTGCAGGGTTTGAGTTTGTGAATTTGCAAGAACAGTGTCATCAGCCAGCTCAGTAAAGTCAGACATTACTATGGATGTTTGAGTGTGTATGTCTACCAAGTCTTCAAGTGTTTTGTACACAAACTCTTGTCCACTGTTTTCAAGAGCTGGTGAAGTGACTGTGGAGTAGTCATTAAACCATGTTTGAGTCTGCGATTCTGTCAGCTCAATGTCTTGAGAGTCAAATAAATCATTGAGAAGGTTTTGAGTTTGTGTGCCAGAATCAATAGAGCTATTTGCATCAATACCCAGCAGGGAAATTAATGTCTGTGTTTCATTATCCTCTAAAGGAACTTGCTCCAAGCCACTAGTCTGAGTTTGTGAGCTAGTTAATGGTCGGAGGTCACAAAGACCAAAGTCTGAGCTTGTAATATTTGTCTGTGTTTGGATATTCAAACACAGTGGGTCAATGGTAAGAGTCTGCATTGAGTTTTCATTCGTGGAAACAAACCCTGGTCTTTGTTGCCCTGTAACAAAAGAACTAAAGGGAGGAAGAGGTTGAACCTGGGAATCTTGTGGAATTCTTTCTGCAAACCCAAACGGTTGACTACTTCTACTGCCACCCAAGCCTAATTGTGCCAAGAAACTCTCATCAGTGCCAACACCAAAGTCGCAGTGGTTTGTCAACATTGCAACTTGAGTCCCAACCGAAGATTGGTTGTTGAAACCAATACCAAGGTTCCCATCCATGTTGTTGAACTGAAACTGTTGGCTTGCAATTGGTGGAGGAGTTTGTGTGTATGAATCACATCCCTGATCCATATTCACTGGGCGACTGGGTGTTTGAGTACACATACTGTGCACATCATAAGGAGGCTGTGTTTGCACAGACTTGTTGACTGCTCTTTTCCTTGAAGAACTGCAAGAGCCTCTACCAGTTTCTAAGTTTGTGACTGGGCCAGGTTTGGGAAGGATTGGCTGAAGTTTTGCTGTCTGATTTCCAGGACCATATTTCTTTCCAGAGTCGATTCTTACACATGGTATCGAGGTTGCAGGTTTAACAACAAGTACAGCAAATGCTGGTGCAGGCGCTGAAGATTTTGCACTAAAAATAGATATGGAAATGGAATAAAAGATGATCTGTCTCCAGTAAGGTCTTCTTACCTTATACCAACTATCATAATAAAACAGAAGTTTCCTTCTCACATGTATCCAATTCTCAAGCTGAATTTATATTAAATATATTCTACTTAACAGCTACTTAGTGCAACAGCATGTGTTTAGTGAGTACATGGGAAGCTGAGGGAGAACAAAAGATGCATTAAAGTTGCTTGTAGTGTGCCTGCACGCAACTCTGATGTTTTGAGTGCCTGCCAAACTTCCCTAATGCTTCATATCTTGATGAACCTCAAAGATATAAGAGACATTCCTTGGAAATGAAGGACACTACTGACCTTGCTGCCTTAGTTTTGTATTCTTCCGGAACTTTGTGCATCTGACGCCGTGCATGGGTGAGAAGTGCTTCCAGTGTGGTGTAAGGGCACCCACATGAACAAGTAAACAACTGCCCACACTTGACTTCATGCCGTTTACAAGCCTCAGGCAAACCAAAGCCCTTACCGCATTTACTGCAAACATTTGTTTTCTCTGCATGCACTGTCATGTAATGCTGTTTGACAAATGAGAAAAGATAAAAGGGAACTCAGTATGCTCAAATGTTTTTCAAACTTTCTCTTTCACCAAGATCTTGTCAGTAATTCTCCTTACTGCCTTCCTTATAACTTTTTTATGATGTTAGTTTGGAGAATTTGGTATTGGATCAACTTATAATCCCCTGATTGATGTTTCTCTTACTCTCATCACTTGTCTGCTGGATATTGTATTGATGTTGTAGGGAATAATTCTGTCTTGTTAACCTGTCAGAGTATAGGGTTTAAGATGCACTGAAAGTGGTCACAATGTTGTAGTTACTTTATTTGTAAGAGTTTCAACTCTAGATCTTTTGCCTGTGCAGCTAGTTTATAATACCCAATTTAAACTCATAGTTATAATTCTAAACTTATAATAATTATCATGTTATTTTAATTGTAGACTTATAACTAAACTTATAAACTTAAATTATAATGCTTAATTTCTCCTCCTATTGGTTTTCGTCAATTGTTTTGCATACCTGTTTCAGCTGAGACATTCGAGGGAAAGGTCTCTTAGTACCTTGTCCTCGTACACAATGTTGAACCGGACAGTAAAAATGCTTTTCAACTTGACTCTTTCCCTGACCACGAGTAAAAAGCTTCTTTTCTTTGCCATTCGGCGCGATGCCATGAGTCTTGATCAGGTGCATCCTAAGGCATGGACGATTCTGAAACTCTCTGGAACATCCCTCTGTAGGACAGGGAAAAGAGGCGGCATCTTCCCTTCGAGTAAGGGCTTCCACTGAAGGACAGATTTCTTCCACAAGAGTCGCCATGTTTTTTGTTTTTGATAGTTGGGGAGGAACTGGTGATGAACCGAACCAGACCCTGTAAAAGCCTCGGTCGCCAATATGGCGGACGGGAGAAGTTTCAGCACACCTAGGAGGAAACTGACGATTGATAAATGTTCCTTTCGCGATGAAAAGGAAAGGTTCAGACGACACATAGAGGAGCATCCTTTCAATCATGCGGTTTGTTCATATTTGACTTTAATTAGACGCAAATTCTCTTTTTCACTCACGTGGGTTTCCAACATGAGGTCGACTTGGGATTGCTCAGAATGTAGCGCATGGGTCGGGAGCTAGCTTTTAGAGAAAAACTGTATATACCTTGTGTCGGTTTCCTGCGGAAGATAACTTTTTTTTCATGATTTCTTCAGGTAATTATTTTGAGTATTCTAAAATATTTTTTACTTGGAAAAATAAGGCTTTGTCACCTACCCCCACCCCCATATCATGCCACCCAACCTACCCCCTGTTGTTTTCCTCAGGAATCTCTGTTTCGATATAGATCTTCTGGTGAAAAAATGGAAAAAGGAAGTAAGCGCCCAATACCAATCATATAATCGATTAATCAAGCTTTTTGACCAATAACAGAGTAGACATGTCTATTCTCCACTCTCCTAACTGTTCTTCATACATTTCCTATGGAGTTGACAAGGAAAATTTCGTTGAAAATTACAAGCTTTTCAAGTTAATGATAATTTCCTTAATTCTTGTAACCCTAATGTAATTTGTAGTTACCAGTGTTAATGACTAAAATGATTGAGAAAATAGTTGTAAGTCACCCTCATCAGCCAATCAATTAATCAATCATGTAATTAATTAATTCCGACTACATTTTTTTTTTTTTTACTTTTATTTTATTAAATTGATGCTCAGTTTTTATTTCCTATGTAAATTGTAGGTAGAGATTACTGTTCCAGATTATTTACTTGAAAATGTTACACAGTGCTTCCAGAGCATTTCACCATCTCAGGATTCATATTGTTTGATTGAACTACCAGTGCATGTCTTCATAGAGGTGGAGTTTATCAAGACATTTCTACAAAGTGGTAATTTTCTGTAGCCTTCTTATTTAAATTTAATTTTTTTAATGATATTAACAGCTGCTTGATATTTGCCTCTTAGCAGACTTATTTTTTATAAAATTTTTCTCACAAGGTATATGTAACACATTTTGCACATCTATGTCAAAATAATTATGGTGTAAATTGTTAGTAATCATTTCATGTGCATTTGTATTTGTTTCACAGGTCAGTTCATTGCCCTCAGCTGGGAAACATACATTGATGCAGGCAACTGTGCAGCAGTCCTTCCAACTGGTAAGAATGTGGGAATAACTGGATCAGATCTAGCAATCCTTAGCTGATAATTTGTTAAGATATGAGAGGGTGTGAATTTTCATATCAGTTAGTTCTTAGAAGTATTGGATGTGGCCAAGTTGTCCATTCAGCTAAATCCCATTTGTAAAATCAGCACCCAGCTAGCAACATTTGGTTGTTTGTAACTGATGTTCTGGGAAGATAACTATTTAATTAATAGCTTGGGTCCTGCTCAGAAGGAACAAAGGAAAACTAGGAATGGCAGCTCCCCAACATTAACTTAACCATTTTCATGCTCTTTTTCATTTCTCCGTCTCTATTTTTCTATCATTTCACTTCCTGAGAGCCTGGTATAGCCAAGAACAGTAAGATAAGATCTTAGACTGGTTTTTAGATTTACATATCAGAAGCATGGAATTAGTGATTGTAATAGAGAGATAGCTGTGTTAGGGATGTTGCACTTGATAAAAGTAGAGAAATGCTGGAGTTTACCAATGAGTTGTTAAAGAATCACATAATTTATCTTATTTCTTGGGGAATCATTTAGGAGTCCTCATTCTTTCTTTGGACAAAGACACATATGAGCAGTTGGGTCTCACAGGGAAACCATCAGTGTTTCAAAAGAAACACAGATTCAGTAAGTATTGTTACTATACTTGGCAAATTGTAATCAATCTATCAATTGAAAATAGATTTGATAATTTGCTGTGTGTCCATTCAGTAATAGATCACAGATGACATAAAAAAGTGGCACATAAGTTGTGGCTGAATATGTCATTTATGTTCTCACCACAGTTTGACATCTTTTGTGATCTATTACTGAACAGACCTGCAGCTACATGAGATTAACAGAGAGGAATATACCATAAATGGTGAAGTCATCTATTCATAAGTATGTGTCTGTACTCCAATAGATCATAAGGAAGAGAACAAATCAAAAGGCATGTACAATTTAGCTTCTAAGTAGTACATAAAATGAAATAGTGCATGAACTTGGTTCATGGAAATTTGGAGTCATTTGATTCAGTTTGAGGTATTAAGTTTTAGAGTCCTTAAAACAATTGCAGCGTATGGGGTGTTGCACAATTTTTTTTGTTTTGAATTTAGATGTGGAGGTTAATCTGGCTGCACCAAATTTTGTTCCTGGAAAGAAGGTTTATGAGAGAGTCAGATGGTGTCTAAAGGACAACCTACCATTAACATTCAAGTTTCTCATGAGTTGGACAAATGAAGGTAGGCAAAGACATACTGCATGGTAAGATTTACATGCATGTGGCATTAAACTGGCCCTTGTTTAAAATTGGCCCTGCTGAGAATCACTGGAAGTTGAGGTGGTTCAGGGGTTACTCTGCACGTTTAGAGAGTGGATCATAGGCTGAGGGTGTAAGCATGGCTACATTATACAGTTGTGTTCCCAGGCAAGACACACTGCCTCTCTCCATAAAGAAGCATCTTGTTGAATTGGTCAAATTGATCTTCCAGAGAAGCCTGATAAAAAGCTGGGGTGTTGGTCAGCGGTCAATATCATTGTTGCTTGAGTGCAAGGACACACTTTGTTAGAGTCCACCACTAATACTAGATGTAATACAGTCTCTAGATGGGGAAACCCTGTTTTTACCAAGTTTAATACCTCTCCTAGGTCAAGTATCAACAAGCAAACTCCACTCTTTCTTCAGTTCATTTGGTTGCCAGATGTTGTATAATACAGAGGATATCAAACAAGTTCAGAACCATCAGAAAGCTCCAAAGATTAGCTTTGACAAATCAAAATTCACAGATAATGGCACTAGCACAGAGACTGATGTGTGTGACTGTATGTCATTTTTTGAATGGCTTGGCTGTGTTGCTTGTGGAGTGGATTGGTAATTATTATGCTCACTGTAAATTGGGAATCAATAGGAAATGAAATGAAATTCTTTAATTTGCCAAATGAAAATCTGTAATTTGCAAAACGAAAATCTGTAATTAGTCTATCGATCTTTTTTCATTCCTCCCATTTCTTTGAACAACTGAGATCTAATAATTGTCATTAACCGCTTTGTATATGCCACTCTTTGAACTTGAGATGGCTGCACATCCAGTGGTGGTTTTTGCAACAAATCAAATTAAAAACTTTTAACTTTGAGTTAAAAAAAAAAACCAAAGCAGAGTCCATGCAAGTTGCTTTTAGATTTGTAGCCCCTATTCTTTCATTCTATGAGACTTATGATAAATGTGATTCAACCTTTTCCTCAAACTTTTTTTTTTCAGCTCAGCAACCTTGCCAGACAGTTATGTATCAACACTAACATGTCCAGAACAATCATGCAGCTTGAAACAGCTGATAACATGCCGCTGGACTGGAATGATAACAAGCAACAGCATTTTATCAATTTTACATACAGTAAGGTAAGATCAAACCAAATGACACTGGAGTGAAAATGTATTAAATGATAAACAGGGTGATAAAAACTAACAAAATTGTTACCATTCTTGGTATAATTAAAATGTGAACTTTTGTCACTAATAAACTAACTCTTCAGTGCTACACTGGGAGTAAAAACTATGCCATGTGTATGTACGGAGGACATTACAACTACCCCATTTTCATGAAATCACTCAAATGGGAGTAAAGCTTACCATTCCTGTATGGGATGCTATTCTACTGCAAGAATTCTCCAAACAGTCTGTAGGTACCTTTTGCATAATATATCCTCCAGTAGCATTAGTCACATTAATCATTTGAGAAATCTTACCATAGATAGTGAGCTAAGGTTTTTAGCCCCTTTTCTGTTCATGTGGGCAATATCGTCGTTCTTACTAAAGATGAATGTTAGCTGGACTCATAACAGGGCTGACATTCTTCATTTAAAGACATCAAATTTTATTAAGTTAAATCCTAAGATCAGATTGTGAATTCTCCATTCGATAATTTTGGGTATTGGTATTCTTAGTACCTGTTTGGTGGATAATGCATGGATATCATGGGGAGAAATTACATATTAGTCACTTCTGGGAGTTAAACAGTTAAGGAAAAAGCAGTAAAGAGAGGTCTCTCAAGTCACATTGACAAGGTTCACATGGAGAAGGCTCTTTTACTTATCAAACTTTTCTCTGACAGAAACCTTCTAAAGACAGCTGATCTTCCTTGGGTGGCAGTGACTGTGTGGGGATTTACTGACTGTCCAGTTACATGGAAACAGAATGAACATGGACACTTTGTCAGTGGGGAGAACTTGTACACCTTTGTGGTGTTTCCTAATGATCAGTACTGGCTCTATACAGCTATGAGTGATCAGGATGTTGGTTTATAAGCTGTTATATGTCTGAAACACTGGGTGACTTAACAAGAAATTTGTCATGACCCATGAAAATTGTCAAGGATAGTCACTGCTGGCAGTGATTTCACTGTTTTCTGACCATTGCAGTTGGCATGTGCAAGTAAAGCTGCAGGTGTTTGCCCAATCTGACAATTCTTTGGCCAGTTGCTGTGAGTAGCTAGGTCAATCAGCAATTCAGATTGGGCAATTTTGACACATGAATTTCCAAAGCAGAGCCTGAAAACAAAGTTGAAGGCCCAAATCACTTTTAAGTGGTAACAATTGTGAAGTCTGCCCTGATGGATCAGCTAAAATTTCCTCAACTTTTTCCAGTTCAGCAGCCTCGCCAGACATTTATGTATCAATGCTAACATGTCTAGGACATTCTAGAACCATCTGACTTCATGTCAGATATAGTAAATAAGTATAGAAAGGGAAAAAAAGCAAGGCTGCAAATAACAGCTGGTCATCAGACAAATGTTTTTTTTGTTTAACATCAGGTTTTAGGGGGCAAAAATTTGGCCTTGGCAGACGCCCTGATCAGAAAGAAATATATATTTAATTTGAAGTATGCACCATAAGCATGGAACACTTTGGTTTGTAGGCAGGTAGCAATTACAAGACAGTGTGGTTGCAATTTCTAGTATGAACAATGTCATCTTCCATGGAAATTTTTTAGGTTTCACCCGATTTGCTTCTTGTCAGGTAAAAACAGCAACTTATATGTAAAACCTACTCATTAGCTAGACTAATGACCTGGCTAATGACAAAAATTTATTTTTGGAATTGTCTTGTCCATAGAACAGAAAATAATAAACTTTTGTCTGATATTTATCAGAAATTATACGAGTTATTTTCTTGAGGCAAATAATTTTGCTTGGCAATATGGAATATATGAATGGAAGATGACTTTACATAATAACTGTATTAAAATAAGGATTGAAGTATAACTCGTGGGTCTAGATGTCAGAAGCAAGATTTCTGTGTCAGTTAAGTTAAGCTGCCAACCTTTGGAAGGGTTAAATTTAAGTTTGATGTTTACTAATGCCAAAAGACATGTTACAATTAACACTTTGCTTATACTCTGAAATTACCTCTAGTAATGTACCTCTTCTAAATAAATAAATAAATGACAACATTCTACTTCACTTGATTTACACCATTTAATAGATTTCCACATTTAAAATCATTTGTAAGTCAAATTCAAAAAATACAATAGAAATATGTAAACTATTGTACATGTATTAGAAACAGATATTTGCAAAATTAAAAAAGGAAATTTAAATTAAAATATATACTTCATTTATCTGAGCTGTAAAGTACTTGAATTCATACATTAAGAGAAGAGAAAATAATTTTGAAATAAATAAAAGTGGTCATACTTATAACTGGAGAAACATTTCCAAAGTAAAACAATCTTTGTTTTAAAATTTTGTTGTTGAAAAACTTCATAAAAATGATTAAAACTGTGTGTGCTTCAGAAAGATACATCCACATTGAAGCACTAAATTTGATCATTAGGCCCTTAATTGCTGATGTCCTCTAAACTTCCTTTTTATGCATTTTCCTTTTCTTTTAGCATAAATGAGTTCCTCGATAGAGAGTGCAAATTAGTCATATAAGATGGCAGTGGTATGTCGACAAAACTCTGTGATCCAAGATTCTTGATCCCTTCTATAACACTGGATCCTTCAAACCTGACATTGCAGGAGATTGGCCTGATGAGCTGATGGAATTGTTTTCTGCTTCGTAGCCTTGTTTGCATCTTGAAAGGAAAATCAGTGTTGATTTATGATAACGTAATGTAGGAAGGTCTTATTGTTGGTAGCCATGTGTCATAGTGTTATATATCTATTGGTGTGTGTGTTTTAACATCATGGGGATCAGAGAGTTTCTGACTGATTGAATAAATGCATAATACACAATACATATGTGTAATACATACTATGTAATACCAACCTTAAACTCTACCTTTTCCAGCTTAGGAGGCAAATTTGTGCCAAATGCATTGTCTGTTAATTGCTGCCGTTTCTGCTCCTCTTTCCAGTTCTCACTGGTGATTTCCTGACTTTGTAAAACATCCAATTTGCTATCTGAATTGCATACAAATAAAAGGGCAATAAGCTATTTTCATTCAAATCCAAATATGATCCAAACAAAACTTGAAAATACAGTTAAACCTGCATAAGAGGATACCTGGACTTTCCTAAAAGTCTTTACTTTCCAGAAATACTTGCTGACTTAATGCTTTGGAAAAAGATTCATTCTACATTTAATAAGCTTCATACTAACTTTCAAGCTTGAGGTTTAATGAAAAAGCAATGATTTTAAATCTGAACTCAACATCAGTGACATGTAGAAGATACCAACAAGACTTACACCTCTGCTTAGGTGAAATTAATGTCCAGTTGATACAGGTTTTGTAAAAAATGAAATAACTTAAGACAGAAATGCTGTGTAATGGGGGAAGGCTGTTACATATTCCCACCAATAGCGTAGCTCCATTTTCTGCATATAAACACATACACAACCACACAATTCCTCTATTTGTGCCGACGGAGGGCTAACACTCGAAATATCAGCTTTGAAACTCTTTACGATGGCCAATTTACGTTATCAACTCCTTGCTAAGAGTATATTACCCCACTATTACATAAGCTCATTTGAAGGGTTAACAGGTGTTGAAACATATCTAATCAGCAGGCTTGTTAGAAAGGTTTGAGAAGGTTGTTTTTCAACAAGGTAAAGGAGATGGAAGGTTTTTTTTATGGTTTACAAAAGCGATCAAAGGAATTTTACCACCTAAAAAAATTTAGCCAAGTGGAGATTTCTGTTAGCTTCAAGCCACTTTTGACAATCTCTAGATCATATCACCATACTAACTGTGTGTAACTTAATATTTGTCTTGAAACCAATTGCATAAAAAAGATTACACCTCACAAGAAAACTAGAAACCATCAGGGCCCTGGAGACTTGGCACATGTGCTGCTCTCTCCTTGTTCAACTTAATTCACAATCACGTCAAAAAAAGGCAAAATTAAATACTTCAGATCGGTTGTCCCCTCACCTTTTTCTCTCTTTCTCTTTCTACTGAGAGGGTTTCCATCCACCTGATTCAATCTGTACTTACTAAAGGCTCCCTTCAAGAGACCAGAAAGCTGTCTTATGAATCACTCTCCACTGGCGAAATATATAATTTGCATAACAAACATGGCTCAGAGGCAGATTTAGGGGGACAGTCTGGAGGGTCTTTATCTCCCTTCCCCCTCCCTATTACATCTCTGGGTGTTCTTGTTACATGTCCAACAAAAAAAAAAATTCTACCTTGAGAAAATTGCATTTTACTACTCAACTGGTTGATTGTTATTGTAATTTGTGGGGAAGGGGGGGGGGGTGAGTGTGGGTTGGTTAGGTAGTAATTTTGAACTCCCACCCCCTCCGAAATTACATTAATTAAGAATTTCCAAGAACCACCGCCGACAGTAATTTATTTCTTTTTGTGCATTCTATAGCTTAGAAACAAAAATGGAAACAAAATCAAAACTGATTCAAAATAAATATAGGGTGATTGAAAACCACAACTGACAAGGTACAGACTTGTGCCATTCATGTTGTGGAAACTTAGGGGGCTGAACAAGGGTCAGTGGTAACCAGGTCGAGTGCAAGGCCTAACCTGACATCACTGGATTGAAGCCAAACACCCAAACCACTCTTTTACAAATTACCTTCATATCTTGTTATGTATTCATTCAGTCTTAGACTCGTTTAAAATTACCTGGCTGCTTTTATTTAGCACAAGTTCCTTGAGGGAGGGCATGTCCCTTCCTGATAACTTTACTTCTTTCAGAGTCTGACAGTGTAGTAGAATTGACAGGGTCTGTAGGAAAATTGGTTATAAAATATATTCCACCCGTGATTCAAGGTTTGCGAGTGACATATTATGAGCAAACTGCCTCTAAGATTCTAGCTGTCAGTCACCAACCTGAAAGGTTATGAAATTTGGTGGACCATTCACCAACTAAAAGTCAACTACTGGGTGACTATCAACTGACAACCAGATTGACTACTGAATACCTACCAGTCCATATACTTAGAAACCTTAGAAACAGTCTGTTTCAAACATGCAATCATACTATGTATTTCTAACAGGCATTTGGTGTTAAGTTTGCTCCAAATACCTCAGTCAAAATCCTGCAGAAATTTAAGCAATTCCTTGGTCATTCACTGCTAACAATGACATTAAAGATGAAAAGTACTATAACACTTTACCTGGAAGATGTACTGTTTGTGAGCTGCTTTGATGGTGGACATGAAGACATATTCAGAGTTAGGATAGTAGATGATGAAAACATTGTTGCTGAGTAAACTGGTGGATGATCCATTACAGATGTGAATTCTTGTCCATAAACCATTTTTCCAAAGATGAACATAAATTTCCTTTGAAAATGGTTAAAATGTTTTTCACTTGCTCATACAATCTACATCAGGAAATATATAATGAAGGCTTACAATGTACATAAGATTGTAAGAGGCTTACATTCAAGTTACCTTTAAGGCTGGTCAGAATTAAAGAATCATTTCCATGAAATTCAACCGTATTTATCATGAGAATTGTTGACAAAATCTCTCTCTAACTCACCACTTTGAAGTAAAGTCCTAGACAGGATTTCAATTGTGACTTAAATTTCCAGGGGTCTGATGCATTTAGCTCCTTCTTAGGGTCTAGAATTGAAAGTACATTAACACAGGAAACAAACTTAAAAAATGTGTGTCTGTGTCACGACTGGATTTCCTAGCTTAATTCAACAAAAGGTAGCAATCATGTCTTAAATTTATTTGTTTACACACCTAATTCCTGGCTAATCATTAAATATTCACTCTAGTTGTCAACATCAAAATTCACAGGGTTGCTAGTAAATTTTGAAGAATTCATGTAGTCACACTGATCTCCAACTAAGGAATCAGAGAAATAAAATGAGCCAACAGATTAGCCAGTCAAAAATATGAATAACAGGTGAGTGTTTTTCCTTCAAGTCCTTGCCATTGTATTGTTGATGGCTCACTTTAGATGTATCTGACCTATCCACAAATTTCTCTAACAAGCTTGTTAAATAAGCGATTGTCTCTGAGTATAATATTGTTTTACATGAGTGTTAAAGGTTAATATAAAGAATGACACTTACCAAAGCCTACAAGCTTGTATACAGTCCATTTCTTACAGCTTGGATGAGACTGGTGATCTGAAATACCCAAATACAATAAACTCTCTCAAAGTGAAACCTCCAGAAGACAGACAGCTTCCTGAAATGCTAATTTAGAGTCCCTATTTTTATCGTTTTTTTTTTTAAGTTTTCCTTTGTTTTCTTGTATAGTAAGGCATTGGTAAGTGTGCAACAACGAAATCAAAATCAAACCAAGGATAGATGGAACGGAGGCATATTAATTATAAGCTTAATTATCACTCAATTTCATCGAGCCTTCGCTCAATTAGTTACTATATCTATATCTAATGATTGTTAATACTTGTATGTTGATAAATAATTTGTTATCGTACAAACATGATGCTGAAAAATTGGCAACAATTGGAAAATTAAGGCATTAGAAAGTTTGTTTAGATAACACAGCTGGTCTGGCAGTTTAAATTTATAATTATTCTTGTTCTGAAGTTGATTTAGACTAAGAACACCAAACTTAATTCTTACAAATGGAAGCTAATAAGATCAAATCAATACCAAAAATATACTTCAGTCCAACAAGTTAAAAGAGAGAAACGAACTTACACATTAGATCCATAAAGCTAACTTGTTCAGCCGTCACATTCTTGTCAAAACACCTCTTTAGAATGCGATTGACGAAAGTTTTCTTTGTTCCTTCTGTATCTAGCACATCTTCATCCAAAAATCTTTGTTCAATGAGTCCCTTTAGTAGTTCTTCTTTGCTAAATTTGTTGAATAATTTGCACAAATCTTTCTTTAGCAAGTCATCCGCCATCTTTGTTTGCAATTACAAATCGAGCGCCAAAACATGAAGTAGCCAATCAAAGATGATTCTGCAAATAACAACTGCTCATTGCAAGTGTCGGGGTGGACTCGGGCTGATTTTGTTATAAACAAAAATATGAAAAAGAAATGATTAAAAAAACATTTTGAAGTATTAGTAAAAAAATATGATTTTTAAAAGTCTCAGACTCCTTTCATTTTTAGTCTTATTGTGTATTGATAAAGTTATTTTTCCTGGCGAAGCTGACACCCTATTCCTCCCTACTTCGTTAATAATTGCTCTCCTTAGACCAAGACCGCTGACCATTAAAAAGTAAACCTTCAAGATGGCGACGGCGGGAATATCGGAGATTTACCGCAATGTTTTAGGAAGCGATTTGTCCCAGTGCGTGAGAAATTCGAAAGTTTTGATGGTTGGAGCAGGTGGTATCGGCTGTGAACTTCTAAAAAATTTGGTTTTAACTGGTTTTAAGGATATCGAAGTGGTGAGTGCGTCAACTATTGATGTTGTGAAAAATGACAATGCACATGTGTGAATGCATTGACAACTTTAATTAAAATGAAACGCTTGAAAACATGCATTTCGGCATGCTTAGCTGTATGCTCTTATACAGCTGTCTGATAGCATACCGGCAAGAATTGCAACTAGATCGGTTTGCTATTGCTGGAAACGTCTTTCCCACTGATTATCAAAATTTTTGACATTACATTTACTTTTGTACTCTAACGTAAGTGTTGGTTTCTCTGTGTTGTAATTATTATTTTTTCGCACTTGTAGGAATTGACTTTTTTCAAACATTACAGTAAAAACATTTGCTGAGGCATCGTCTTGTGTTTTCTTCGAATTGGCCCCTGCCTGTTCAATGAGCCTGAACTGATAAAACACTGAACTTAAAAAGTAATCATATAACTGCTTTCCATTTCTGAGTTAATAATTGATTTTGCATTCTGATCATCTGGGTGAGAGAAGTCCTGACAAGGACTGCTCTTGGTGACATTGACTGGCACTTTGACAGCCTGACTGAAAGTTGAAACCTCAGTCACTGCCAAGTGGTAACAGTTCTGTTCAGGGAAACTCTTAGTCAGACAAACAGAGGAGATGATCAATGTTGTGAAATCTATAATATGAACTGTTTGGCCTCAGGCACAATTTTATTGAAAAAAAAAACAAAAAAATCCTATGTGAGACCCAATTGTAGTTGATAGTGCAATGCAAGCAGGCATACATCTTGACTAGACGTAAAATGAAAGTTAAAAGGAAGAAAATGAAATAGTGTAGTTGTATAATTATATACACTTGACTGAGTAAGGTCAGGTTGGGCAGAAAAATATATATAGCTCCAATTAGTACATGATATGTAATGCATGTGTATTCGAAGATTACAGATAAATCACGTGCTTTTTATGCTGTACTCAGGTTATCAGAAGCTAATGGTAATTCCAGTCTTCATTATTTTATTTAGATTGATCTGGATACCATTGATGTTAGTAACTTGAATCGCCAGTTCTTGTTTCAAAAGAGACATGTTGGAAAATCCAAGGCACAGGTACTGTAGATACACCTCAAGCTGTTACTGATTTAGTTTCACAGTGTTAAAGTTTCTAACCCCTTTCTAGTTCTGATTTAATGACCTGTTGGTTCACCAACTGATTTGCAGTACATATACTTCAGTCAACTTAGCTAGACTACACACAAAGATTGTAGGGGAAAAATCAACAAAATTATTTTATTTGATACTGTATCACATAACAAGAAAACAAGTGGAATTTACACAATGAAATAAAATGTGAATGAATATTCTTTTGAAAAATGTACCAATTACAAAAAAGAAATACTCAGTAGGACAAACACAGAAAGCTGAACAGTGGGATTGAATGATCATCAGTGATCAGCCACACTTAACATATTTCAGTGAATAAAGAGCAAAAGTTTCTAAAGAAATTGTGGTACTATGTTGGTGGTGGGTATTACAAGATGATTTGATTTTGTAAACTGAGTTGATGACTGAAATTGGCCGCTGTAAAGAGTTTCTATAACCGACTTTTCAAATGTTAACCCTTTGCCAGAGCATTGGCCAAGTCTCATGATCAACTTAGGTATTAAAACCAAAATATCTCAAAATAGATTTATTTTAATGAGTGCCCTGTATGTAGATGAAGTCAAGAAGACAGGATTTTTTTTCAGCCTGACTAAGATGGATAGCAGGAGTTTTAATAAGCATGAGACAAAAGTGCTCTTCAAATTAACACATATTTTGTTATATTGGTTTTGAAAATTAAAGAATGTACAGTAATGAAAGAAAACAAAATGTTAAATCTCACAGGTATCCCGTGAGAGTGCTCTTCAATTCAATCCTGACGCAAATATCAAAGCTCATCATGATAACATTATGAGGTGAGTCACCAATACTTGCCCTTTACCTTCATGCATTTTTAGTATTGGTAGGAATAAGGTAAAATGTGTTGATTGAAATGAATATACATATACAAGGGGTGTAGCTAACCTAAAACCCAGTAGGCCTGGTCCTATAATTTTTTTTCCACCTACTTTACTTCTCAAATATGACCCTTGCAAAAATGTGGCAACAAAAATTGAACTTTCTTAAGGAACAGGCCTACAGAAAGTCATATAGTGTTTTATTTTCACAAAATTGATTTTATTTTGAGGTCGATGCTTTTTTCCAGTTATCAATAACTATGTACTGTATGATAAATGACTCAACATCTAAAACTCCAAAGGAGCCTCTGTTTGGCTTAAAATTTTACACCTTGAGGAATGGTGGTTATTACCCATATTTATATCCCTTTACTTTTCTCAAATTCTTTTCTGAAATAGTTATAAACATGTCTGATTCTTTCTACTTTTTCCCAAAACTTAGCCCTGATTATGGTGTAGACTACTTCAAACAATTTGATGTGGTGATGAATGCTTTAGACAACAGAGGTAGGGTGATTCAACCTTTTCATTCAAAGATCTGAAAGACAATTCTCTTACATGTAAAATTGTTCAATGCAAATTTTTTTTTTGTTTACTGCTGAGAATTTTGAGTTAAATCATGGCAATATTCTTAATTGAGGATTCAGTTATCAATAAGTTTTTCATTGGTTCGTGTGTAGATTGTAAAATGCTTTTTGTGACATGATAATGATATTTTTGTTTCTGTTTTGCATGTAGCGGCCAGGAACCACGTGAACAGAATGTGTCTGGCAGCGGATGTTCCTTTAGTGGAAAGTGGCACGGCAGGTTATCTAGGACAGGCTACTGTTATTAAAAAGGTATTAAGCTATTAACAACTGATTGCATGATTTTTCTCAAACAATTTGAAATGAAAAACCACGCATAAACTTTTTAAAATTCTTCAAACATAAGATCATGTAATTACCAATACAACACCAGGTTGAGCTCATTAAGCTTTACAGTGCATCTTAAGTGGACCAAGTCTTGTCAATTTTACATTTTTTGTTACTCTGCCTGACCTTCCCTGACATACATTGTGTCCAAGTGCAGCTAACTTAACTTGTGTTTGTTTGCCATTCCTCAGGGGGTTACTGAATGTTATGAATGCCAACCAAAACCTACACAGAAGACATTTCCAGGGTGCACAATCAGAAATACTCCTTCAGAACCAATCCACTGTATTGTGTGGGCAAAACATCTTTTTAAGTAAGTATTGACTTAATTATTATTCATTAAATGTCAAAACAATGCAAACAGAATGGTTTTAGTTTTACACTTACTGACTGTAAAATATTGTACAACTAGAATAAATTAGCTTTCACATGACCAGTGATGAGGTAATTATTGTAGTTTTTTTTCTTTTGGAGCTAGTTTGGATGTTACACCATATTTACAATCCCCTCAACTACTCTCATGCATTATGATCTCTTGATAAAACCCTACACAGTTAACTTTTATAGAAAGTAAAGTTTAGAAGGAGAGGTTGGTACATACAGAAAGTGTGCCACACATATTGGTTTACAAGGTGTTGTTTTTAATCTGCCTGTAGCCAGCTGTTTGGTGAGGCTGATGCAGATGAAGAGGTATCTCCTGACACTGAGGATCCAGAGGCTGTGGGTACGGCAGGAGAAAGGGCAGTCCAAAATCAGGAGAAGGAGGGTGGGACTGGAGGCATTGAGAGAGCATCAACAAGAACATGGGCTGAAGACATTGGATATGATCCTGTTAAGTTGTTTAACAAAGTAGGTCAAGTGAAATTGCGATCATTTTATGGAATCTCCCAATGGCCTGTGAGGTCAGTGTCAAACAGATTTGCTGATGGGCTTATCAATTGGAAGCTTCAACATCCCCCCTCAAGACAACATTTTGGCAACTTCATTTGGTTTTCCCAACCCTAAGAAACAGATCAGTAAGCTCAAAATGATATGTTCCTATATTGCTTTCTCTTCAGCTGTTTAATGAGGATATCAAGTACCTTTTATCAATGGATAAGTTGTGGAAAAAGAGAAAACCTCCTGTGCCTGTTGACTTTGAAAGCATCCAAAAAGGTTAGAAGTAATGATTCTGTTTCCCTATTTGTTGTGGGGAATTGTAGACCTAGAGCTCCACAACTCTAGTACTTAAGTTGAGGCGACTTTTCCTTGTGAATATTGAATCACATTTTTCATGAGAGGCAGTTTAGCTGTTTGAGTGAACTGTGCTATAATAGGTTCAAGCTGAAATACCTCGGACTCCAGATGCCTCAAGCTAGGTCTAGTCCCAAAACCTTTACCTATGAACTTTCTGTGAGCATCTTAAACCATTCATATGACAATATGAATGGAGAAGGATCCAGATAATATGATAGGGGGTGTTCAAAATGGACCAACCATGCCTGCCTCCCCCTGCCCCATCACTCTCAGTTACACCAAAAACTCAGCCAGTGGAGTAGTAGTTTGTTATCGCGTTGTTATTGTTCACACCAAGTATTTTGGTGTCAGGCTGGTAACAAAGGAAAAACCTTGAGGTACCATATTAAAAGAGGTGGGGGGGGGGGTGTGCAGACCTCTGGGACCCTTTACCTGGATCCACCACTGCTTTTCACTTGTCCTCGCAAGATTTAGGTAATGGAACTGCACTCATCGTATGGTTTAAAAATAATTAACCATTAAACAAAACAGAATGATAACAGCAACAACAAACATTTACAATTTTGTAAATTGAGTTTTTTTAAGATCCTTAAGAAAAAAGACACTGAATGCTTTAAAACCAAGTGTGATTGTTCTGCAGGATGCGAAAATGATGAAAAGAACGCGGATAATGGTTTACAAGATCAAAGAGTATGGAGTCCTGATGAGTGTGCAGACATCTTCAGTCAAAGGTTGGTGTCATGGAAAAGCATTTTTTGTTTGAATGCCAATAAACTGATACCAAGTACATATTGGCGATTTACACCAGAGGTAAATTTCCCATAAGGAAAATTAGATTTGAAAGGAAATGCAGTCGACAGTGGTTTACTCGAATCTTCTTCACCATAGTCTGTAGTTCTCATTTCCCACAAACGTAAAACTCTAAACGCTTATTATAATTTAGTTTCCCTTTAATATACCTTTTCTTAGATTTTAGTTGGTCCATTTAGTTTCCCTTTAATATACCTTTTTTTAGATTTTAGTTGGTCCATTGTGGACATATACCTTAAAGGATATGAATTACTGATGAGAGTGGTCAATTTAACCCTTTAATCCCTAAGAGTGATGAGGTTCTAATTTCTCTTTACAATCTATCTCTTGAATCAAATGTTTAAGTCACGAGAATAAAGGAAATGATCAGCAACTAACGAAGCTCTTGATGATTTTACAAATTCTCCTTGTTAGAATCTTGGAAATGTAGAGAGAACAGTATGGAGAATGTGCATAATGATGTTGGGGTGTAAAGGGTTAACAAATGCATCCCATGCTGCCGTGCGTCGTTTCAGTAGCGATCACAGATGACTTCAAAATGCGATAAGAACTGTTGTTCTTGCCACATTTTGACGTGTTCTGTGATCTTTGATCACTTTATAGACCCACGTCGACATGGCATTTATTGGTTTTAATGTTAAAAAGAGCAAAGTGTAGTGAATGGAACGTCATCTATGGGTCTGTCCTCTGTACCATAAAAACGTAAATAAAAATGCGTACATTCATCTTAGCGTATAATTTAAGACAGTTTCCTTCCGCTATACTTAACTTTGTCCTTTCATCATGAGAAAACAATTTCTTAACCACTTTAACTCCGTCAAAGCATTAAGATTTAGGCGATTCAGTCATTGCTCGCATATATACAGCATGTCTTTAACTATTTATATAATAATTATCTTTATCATTCCAGTGTTGATACATTAAAGCAGCAGTTACTGACCAGAGGAGAAGATCTTGTGTGGGATAAGGTCGGTGTTTCATCGGATTGACTTCACACAAACTAGTGACAGCAGTAATGTAGATAACGGAAAGGAACCCGGGAAAAGATGAGAAGCTAGGAACTTATTTACCTTGCTGGAAACAACGCACGTTTGTTAAATTGGCTTTTTCATCCACATTTTCATACCTGGTAAATTTTACCCACATCCCCTGAGATGTTTGACAACGGCCTACCAACAGAATGCTTAGAGTTTCAATAAACTTGAGTTACGTAATAAAGTTACAATCAAAACAGTGTTCGCTGGTTTACTGACCAGCGGTCCACTTATGGCTCACTACTAATTGCAAAGAATCGGCCAACAGACAGCTTATAGTTTTCCAACAAATATCTACCGGTTCTTTTGGAGTTTTTTCTTGCTTTTTGTCCTTTCTTGAAGTCCATAAAGTTGCAATATTTTTCATAGTTGAAACAAGTTTTAAGGCTTGAATTTTTACATTGCTGTCCACAATTTTTTTTTTGCAACTGTATATTACACAGGATGATCCGGCCTCCATGGACTTTGTCACAAGTGCAGCAAATATCAGAGCTCACATCTTTAGTATTCCAATTAAAAGCCGCTTTGACGTGAAAGGTTTGTGAGTTGTAGCAAGTACTGCAGAGTATGCCGGCTAAACAGCTCGACACTCAACGTGTAGCTGAACACAGAACTCTGTAGACTTAGTAGCACCTTCGAGGGAAAGGGTCGTATACACTTCGTTGGGTTTGTTGCATTTATCCTATCTTTACATAATTCAAACTTTTGCAATTGGTTTTATATTCGCCCAGCGTTTTGTTTTTATTTTGTTTTAGCTATGGCGGGCAACATAATACCAGCCATTGCCACAACAAATGCCATAGTATCTGGTCTCATTGTTATGCAAGCTCTTAACATCCTCAATGGAAAGCTGGACAAATGCAAAACGGTACGTTTCCACCACGACAACAATTACAACAACAAAAATAGCAAAAGGCTTTCATGGTTTTGAGGCGTTTGAGACATTTCAGCTTTATAGACTGGATTGAATTCCACTTATTCCCAGAGAGCTTTGGGAGTCAGTGTCGAAGGTTGTCTTAGATTGTAGAGCGCTTTTCGATTAAGCGTGGAATACCAAAACCAAAGTCATCGCAACGGCTAATCAGAACAAAAGAAAATATCCTTCGGAGCCAACGAGAACTCAGAGTGAAAAAATGGCTAACGGTCAAAAAGGTGGGAAAATACATTCGTGCTTGGTTATAGTTTTGCATCTGATTGGTCGAGAGAGTGGCGCAAGTTTTCTGGACCAATCACAGAGCAAAGTAAACAAGAACCAAAGCAATCTCGGATACTTTTGACACTCAATGGAGATTGCTCAAGCGCGTAGCAAAACAAAACCGCCGCGATTTAAGGCGCAAACGCTTAGGGGTGGCCGGTGGGGAACCAAACACTAAAATAATTACTTCACTTGATCTCTGGTAACTTTCTTATTGTCGTTTTACTTGCAGATTTATCTTAACCGTCAGCCGAATCCAAGAAAAAAGTTATTAGTTCCTTGCAATCTCGTTCCACCGAATCCCAAGTGCTACGTTTGTGCCGCTAAACCAGAGGTAAGGTAGAGGTAAAGTGTTCCTCAAAGAAATTTTATTGACAGGATGCGCTGAAATGGTTCAAAGAGTGTTTTACTCTCAGTCCATAGATCTGGTTAACCCATTGACTCCCAAGATCTTATTAGTAATTCTCCTTACTGTCTGCTATACAATTCTTCTGATGTTACTTCTGAGAATTTATATTGGATAAACCAATAATCCCCTAATTGATAGTTTTCTCGGTTCTTATCACTTGTCCTCGTGGTTTTGTATGGATATCGTAAAGAGAAATTCTGTCTTGGTCACTCATAAGAGTTAAAGGGTTGAGAAGGGAAATTATTTCAGTTCCTCTACTTATAGTTTTTTTTTATTTAAATTTTCTCAATGCACACACGATCATGTTCGATAACTACTGCTTTCTCTTTTTGTTAGGTTACTGTCTTCTTAAACACAGAAACTCTTACAATCAAGACGTTAGAGGAAAAAGTAAGTAAAAACATTCTTCAAAAAGCCCTCAAACCTTTCTCTGCTACTCTTCTTCTTTGGAGGTCTGTGTTGCTTTTCTCTTAGTTTACTGTTGGGAAAAAAAGGAAACAAAATGCAATCATCTTATTTAGTCAACCAGAAAGAGTGACTGTGAGGAACTGAAAGAAATATTTCAGTGTAAACTGAGAATGCAAAGGGCTTAAAATGCCGGGAAACCCATAGAGGAATCAACGTTTTGTATATGTTCTGTTCCTAATTGGTCGAGGTTCAGCACGAGAGCTCTGATTGGTCGAGTAGCGATGCAAGAGGGCTTGTATTTCATTGCAATACTAAAAGCTTTTTAACTTATCAGTTTGAAAAATTGCCTATGGCATTAGAACAGATTTGCCTTTAGCGATTACTTTACCCTTTGAGCTGTTAGTTATGAAAAATAGTTTAAACTCCGTTCAAAATCGATTTTGTGCGTTTTTCCTCAGATACTAAAGGAGAGGTTTGGTATGGTGGCACCTGATGTCGAGATCGACGATGGAAAAGGTAACTTTTCTATATGTTTTTATTCACTTTTTTTCCTCTTCCAGACTATCCTTGATCAAGTGTGACCAGTATTTCAGCTCGGCTAATTTTGCCCTCTTTAGTTTCCGTCCTAAAGGATCAGTGTACCTCCCATTTTCTTACAAACGAGTTAGGGTATGATGCAATTTCTGAATTTTGATTTTTTTACAGGCTATGGTCTCCTAGCTCGTATACCACGGAAATGAGAGAGTTGTAGTAAACAGGACGTGTGACACCATTTTTTGTCTCATATTCAACGCGCACTAACTATCACCAAAACATTTTTGAATAACTACATTATACACGCTGGATTTGACTGATGTTTTTTTTTTTTCTTTATGGGGGAATATATGGAAATCGATCACATGCTATGGCTTGCATTTATGAGCGGAAGAAATTAGAATATGTGCATGTGATATGTATGTTTTTCGTCTATATAACATGTATATTTGCAGCCGTCGTTAGCAGTCATAACGCAGAGTAATCGATGTATTGACTAATTTTACTTTTTTCAGGCAGCATATTAATATCCAGTGAGGAGGGTGAAACTGACGGTGAGTTAGACATTTAGGATTGCATGATTTGTAATTGTCTTACATAATTATGCATGCAACTTAGCAACACAACTTGAAATAAGGAAAGAAGTATACTAGTCTTGTTTCTTCTTAACTTGAACCAAGCAAATGGGAAAAGATTAGTCATAAATAGAGGAAACCCATTGGAAAATATTATATGTTTAAAGAGAAATCATATTTTTGCAACTTATGCTGTTTATTCAGTGTCTAGTAAGCAACTCGTCTGTTCGTGTAGATGTTTAGACAGAGTAAATGTGAGCACTAAATGCGGAAAAGCTGGGACGATGCCGAGGAAATCTGAGAGGATACAAGCACTCCCGCCACACAATGTGCTTGTCGGGAAAATCAGACTAGCCTCAGAAGCTTAATTTTTTTTTCAATGTTAACTTTAAATAATAGCCTTGACAAGTCTGTCTCCTGTTTTCTAGAAAATTTACCGAAGACGTTAAGGGAATTCCATGTAGGCAACAGTGCGAGGTTGAAGGCGGATGATTTCCTTCAAAGTTACCAGCTTATTCTTAACGTTGTACATAGGTAGGTTGTAAAAATTTGAATATTTATCATGTAGGCTGTCTTGAGCAAAAAAAAAAGGAATCTCAATCAATCTTGACGGTGATGGCGAAGACGTTTGTTGAAAAATTAATAGCTTTATTTTATCGAAAGAATTTTGCAATTAGCTCGATGTCTTTTCTGTCTTTAGAATTGTTCTCGGATCTCCCCATCAGTGTAAATTGTGAGGACGTCGTCGAGTTGTCAATAAAAACGTATCAAACTAAATAATTTGGGTGTTTCGAGTTGATGTTTTGGAGAACAGAAGCATAGAACAGCTAGGAAATGTACAAATATTTAAATGGACGTGCAGTGCTATAGTTCTGCTCCTTAAATCTTTTTTTTCTTTCTTGCTCTCACCGCCGGGGTTTGCATAACGTCGCTAATATATGCTGTGGAGAACTTCGATACGGCCTTTCCTTACATAGAAAATATGCCAACTCAAGGAACCCGTCCGATTGCGTGCTGAGCTGCGAGCCACAAGCATTTTGCGCAGTTTTGTGGCTCTGCTTGTGGCTCTGCACCTATCTCATCGGTTGAATTTTTTTTTTCTGATTTCTCGCTGCATCTCTGAGCTCACTTTCCAAACATGTATCAAATAACCGCTGTTCATTATAAATTTCAGAGATAATTTAGAAGACGATGTAGAATTTGAAGTAGAAGGTGATTTACCAGCACCCAAACCAGACAGTCCTGAACCGGGTCCTTCGACAGCATCAGAAGACAGACAGAATCAACCAGCAGATGGTAAGTTAATATGATAAAACCCTGTAATAAGAAATGACTTCAGTATCAATCATAAGTGCTTCAGATACCATTATCTGAGTATTATAGCTCGTGTCGTAAAATCTTCCACCTCAGTTTGTATTACTTAAAACTACGCTTAAACGTTGATGAAAATGACCGAAGACACCTTAATGCCAATTGTTTGTTTAGTCTACCGGTATTCATGAAAGAAACACGAAATATCTTCGCGATTTTAGTAACTTGGGCCTTTCCTCACTAGCGACAAAGTTGTTTATTTAGACAAATTTTCTGTCATCACCAACATTTTACAAGTGCAGATGGTTTGTCGCTGCTTGACAAATTTTGGCCGGCGCGGACAAATCTTCAGACGCACCGCCGACAAAATTCGTCCTGGGTAAAAATTTGGCAAAATCGACGAAATGAACAAAACCGTGATAAACTTGCCAATCATTTGTTGTACAACAAGCGCGTAATTATTCTGAAATCAGTTTACTAGAAAGGCCAAAATTGTCTTTTGCTGCAAAACTCGGGGATTCTAAAATTTTAAAACGACTTACGATAAATCCTAGAAATTGAAGGTGGAATCCTCTGGCAACTATGCTAGCAGGTCTCATGAGCAGATCAGGCGCTGACGAAATTTGACGGCTTTGAAATTTTTAATGCGGATGCGGGCCTTTGATTTTTCTAGGACAATTCTAGTTTTTTCTGCTAGTGAGGAAAGGCCCTTATGCTAATTTCCAACTCTTAAACTATGATTGTCGATCCACTGCAGGTCTTAAAGTATTTACTCGTATCTGTTCATTAGGTGACAAAGAGGAAGTGATGGTTGTAGATGAACCAGTTCCCTCGCGGAAGAGGAAAGCCGATGAGTCAGAATTGGAGACTAGAGAGCAGCAAGACTCAAAGAGTTCAAAGCGAGCAAGACTTTCTCACGCACCGGCGGATGAAAATGATGACGACATCATTGTTCTTTGAGCCGTAAGGACAACTTCTTCCGATATCTTCCGATATTTTCCTTCTTCCGAAAAAGTTGTCCTTACGGAATCAACGGAGTTTACCTCAAGATATTTTTAATCATCTGTTGCGCCGCGCATGACCATCTTCAACTTGAAAGTTGAAGTATAAAAGTATAGGAGAAGTTTAAAGTTTGTCGTTAAAGGCAAACGGCAAAGGTTAAACGTAAGATTTTCATTTCTGTTACTTTGTACAATGCATATTCAAAAAAGTTAAACAATATCTCTTAGCTAGGAACAAAAGTTTTGTTCCGTTTAAGATTCGCATTGATAGAGTTAAATTTTCAAATAGACTTGCTTGTCATAAATAAATTTTAATAGTTTTATTGTTGCTGTTGCTTTCGCTTTACATTTGTTCGAAAGGAGCATTAAAATAGCGTTAGAGGCCTGGAAACTCATTGAACTAGGTTCAAGTTTGCTATCGAAGGCGGGAAGATAGTTGTATTCTTATCATACCAAACAACGGCAAAGTTCTCAAGCCCTCAGCTAAAAAGGGAAGATAAAGGGTTGACGGAAGCAAGTTTGCCCCGTCGCTAATTTATGTCTATCTAGGCATTTTCTGAAACAGTTCCTTTAATCGCCTTCTATTCACTGCGAATGTTTACAGCATTTCCATATCCTCTTAATTTGCTCATGTCCATGTCATTACAAGTTTTCTAAGGCAGAGAGATTAATCCATTACTTCTGGTTCTGTAATGCTTTCTTGTAAGTCTCTTTTCCTTTTATTTCATTACCAAGCTCAAAATTTACCATCTTTCCTCACTCTATTTACGCTCACGACACTTTCGATATTGCTGATCCTTGGAATAAACAGGACGCGTGTCACAGACAGATGAGCCTAGAGATGGCCAAGCCCACCGTAGAGAGTCTGTGGCTCAGTGATAGAGCCGCATCGGAAGATGGGATCCCTAAGCTGAGGTTAGATTCTGTCATAAGGACCCAGAATATTTTCTTAATCCAGTCTCACGCTCGCAACAAGAACATAGTTCCTTTGGGCTGTAAATAAAAGGATGTTTAATAGTGCTGGCACGTTTCTCTTAAACGATTGAAACGCGTTTAACGTACAGTGATCAAATCGGAATCTCTTTTTCCATGAGATTCACGATTTTCTTTCATTTATGACTAAAGAAAACACCTAAATACTTCGATCAACCCGAAAAATCTCAAATAAAGTGACTCGAAAAAAATCTCAAGCAGAGTATTATTTTTTTTAAAACAAAACGAAAATAATTCGGCTTAGGAACAGGCGGTAACTGCTTTCCTTTCGCAACGGCTTTCAATTTATGTGCTTGAATTTCCCGCCTTCTGTTTCAATTCTCATCTGTCCACAGGTAATCGGAAGGGAATCGAAAGAAATAATATGACATATGAAACGATTAAACGATTACGGTATTCTTTGAAATGTTCAAATGTTCCCTGAAACACCGACTCGGAATACAAAGAAGCCCTCCGCGGTAGTTACTTTGAGTTTTACCGGCCTAGGCTTTTTTTTTTTCTGATTTTTATTGTTCAGGCGGGAAGTTTTGAAACTTCGTTAAATAAACTTCAAAGATCTTCGGCTCGGAAAATTTTAAGCGTTGTTCCTTTTACAAGATTTTTTGAAGAACTCGAGAATAAGAAACTGAAATCAACTAAATTGAAATTTCCCGTTTAATATTTTGCTGACTGAATGATTTATTATTTTGACCTCGTCCAGCGGAAAATTTTCCTAAGAAAATCGAAGTCGGAATTTTCTACTTTCAGAAAACGTTACTAATTGCAGAAATAATTTAATTAAAGCTCAATCGTATCTCTTTAAGAGCGTAAACTGAGTAACTGAACTTATCAACAATGGGAAGAGATCATGAACCTTTCGTGTGTAATGCCGCGAATGACATGGACTTTCTAAGCACAAAAACAAACTTAAATTCATTCTGTCTCTCAGAGAGCGTGCCGCACCGACAAAGGAAAAAGTCTTTTCTGCTTTGTGTTAAGTGTATACTTTTAATGAAAGCGCAAGCCTTTTTGAAGTGGATTCGATTATCGGTCAATCGAAGTTTAGTACAGCCTATTCAGGCGGTGCGCGCCATTTCGCCGAGCGGTACCCCTGACCACCAATTAGCAGGTTCAATATAAAGAAGTACAGGATTGGCCACCACTAGCGGCATGAATAGAAGGAATATTTTCATTGGTCAAATACTTAGGAAGGCTTTGATCATTGAGTAAGCGCGCAACCTTGATATATAAAGAGGGAAATGGCTACATCGTTGCTTTCATACTGATCGTATACATCTCGATCGTGGCAAGTCTTCGACATTTTACAACCTTATAATATTTTAGTATCGGTTTGGAGTAGCTTGATTCCCTTAACGTGGTATTAGTTTGCGATGGCGAAGAGAAATAGAAACTTGGTTTCGAGCATCATGGCATCCCAAGTCTCTGGAAAATGCATTAGAACAAACATGGTAGGTTCGATTCTTCTGTCAGATTCGAATTTGAGAGGTGATTCGGTGCTGATATTCTCGTTTCGTTCTTCCAGCTTCCTAAAGATTTCATAGAAGATGTGGATCGCCGTTTGAATTTTAAGGAGATACCTGTTATTTTGGCGAAATTAGAACGACATAGCAGTCTCCAGAGGTTTAATTTCTCGAAGTGTATGAGATACATTGAGGTAGGGGTTCGATTTTACACCGTAATTCATTGAGCTAAGGGATTATTTCTACTGCTCATTACACTAGCTAAATTGCGTTGTAAATATATATTCTGTTTCTCGATATCAGTCAATCTATTCGAGCTTGTTAAGAAACGACATCACAAATGCAATTGTTTGTGTAGTGACTTTGACGTGGTTACTCTATTAAGGTCTTCGATTTGACTGTGAAGTGTTTTTCTCTCTCAAAATCCACAATATTTCTGTCTTAGGAACTTTCACACTTCTTCACGGAGACGATGAGTGTATCAGAGATGTTTTACAGCGAAAACGAACTTCCAGTTTATACGAAGGAGAGAGCTCGAATTGGTCAAGTTTTAAATTTATTCGGTGGAGTGGAGGTAAGCCATGTTGTGAATCTGTTTTGTTTATTTCAACTTTGAAGTCAGTCGATTTTGTCTACTACTCGTTCAGAAGGATTTTCATAGTAGAAGTATTTGGTAGGCTATGCAAAAAATGTACTCCACTATCACTGTTTTAGAAGTCGATTAACACGCTGTGTTTCCGAAAGATTTCAACACCATTTTAAAATATTTGAAGCACTCGAAGGTGCTAAAAATGCGAACAGGATTTTATTCATTATTCGACGAGAGTTCATCGAGAAAGTCGCCTTCTATCTGTATTTGGGAATCACCCTTGTGAAATATGTTCTCGAATTAGACACATTACTAAGAACCCTTAACCGGGTCAAACTAGTAGGATTTTTCCGTTTCAGTGCCCGTAGCTGGTATTGTAGAGCTCTTTCAGGAAGAATTTTCAGTCTTGAACAGCTGTTGTGGGCATATTTGTCTCTTGTTCCTTGTTGTTTTTGTTCGAAATAGCGTTCAATTTTTGCTTCCTGTTTCAAGGTGGTGTCAATGGGTCAGACTAAATGTCTTACGCCTACTTCCGGTTTAGTTTCTTTATTGTGAGATCAACCGTGCTCACTAAAACCTTATACAGCTGTTCAGCCGCTTGTTACTTAGTCTTTACTTTGTTTTTGACAGATTGTGGTGCAAATCCTTTTTTATCCTGTTACTTATGGCTTCAAGCTTTGCAAGTTGAAACCATCAAGTAAGCTAACTAAATGTATATAGTAGATATTTCGATTATCCAAGTAATATTGATGCTTTTAAGAATTGCTTCCAAACTTATGTTGGACCCATGTCTGAGTTGCTTTTAGACTTTTGTCTTTACTTTTTGTCGTCATTGTTGTTTTTCACATATCGTGACCCTATCATGTGATTTGAATAAACAAGAATTAAGGAATAATTCACGCAAGATCTGACTTGAAGAGTTGTGCAAGTGTTTATAGAAATGTTTTGTTCCTGATCACGTAGGACTGCAGCAAACAGAATTGTACCTAGGATGTCTTGATTTCATCCATAACATTTGTCTAGTGGTAAGTACAATTCTTCAAAGTCCTTCAAAGTGTTTTTGTGTTTATCTGCTTTGAATACCATGATCAACACCATATTTTACTAAACCTATAAATACGTCAGCAATGATACTGAAATCAAGTTTGTTCTTGACAAATCACCAGATTTTTACAAAGCGTCATAAAGATTTTCATGGCAGCCTGGGGACACATGTAATATAACCATCAAGTTGTATTAGATTTTAATGCATTGTTTTCCTTGCCTTTTTCCTTGAACAGGTTGATGGAGTTGCTGTTAATTTAGCAAAGAGAAATGAATTGATTAGTCATTTGTTCACTCTCCTGGAACAAAAGAAAACTTTTTCGTGAGTCTTATTTCATTTACTTAATAATATTATTATTAATGTTATTTTTCATTATTAATATTAATGAAGGGTAATTCAGTTCATAGACTCAAACTTTTTCTAGTCTTTTTTCCTTTTTTTTTTTTTTTTTTTTTTTTCCAGGTTTTCTTTTATTATTTATTTTTTGGGTTATAATTTTTTTTCTTTTATTTTGCAGCCGTGCCTTGGTAGTATTAGAAGATCTTTTTGGTTCCAGAAAAGAAATTATCGATTTAGACAGGATTGGTATGTTAACTCTAAAAAATTTTCCTCAATAAATAGACACCATCTTAGTTGGTCATTGGTATAATTATAGTTGTTGCTAGAACTCCTATAAATTTATATTGTTTTATTTTTCCTTTTTTTCAGTAAATATGAGAAAACTGATAAACATCTTAGATCAGAAACAACTGGGGAACTTTTGTCGTGTTTTGTCATTTACCTTGTCAGATTTGGAATCTGTAGAGGAGAGAAGTACATGTGAGTATTGTTATTAAATTCATTCCTCAAGGCTGGTTTGAAACATTTCCTGTATAGCCATTTCCAATTAGTCAAGCATCTTATGTCTATTGTAATTAAACACAATTGATAACCAACATTGCGTACTTCTGATAGTGCTTGCCCAGGATGAAGTTGACAGAAAGGGAATGTCACAGAAGGATGTTGCAGATAACAATCAAGGTAATTTTTTTCTATTTTCTAGCTGTAAATTTTTAACTTTTGATCAAACATATGAAGCAATTAGATTATAAGTTCATAAGTAAGAGCAAGACAGGCTGATGTTTTAAAGTTATTTTGTTTGAAAATGTACTGTGCAAGTCTTTTCACTTTATAAATTATCAATCACAGAAAAGACAGTACATAGGGTAGCCAATTAAATGACTGTATTAGTGATGGAAAGCTATTAGGCTATCAGACTATCACTTGGAAATAAAAAGAGTTATTAAAACTATCATAACTATGTCATTGCTGGTTGAAATATAAATTTGACTTTATTTCAGGTTTTGGGGAGTAAAGTTAAGTTTTATATTTATGTTTCTGCTGCAGCAACACTCATAGGTTTAAAGGAATTTCTTCCAAGGATAGTGAGATTAGCATGTCAGCCAATGGGTAAGATTTCATGTTTTTTCATGATTTTTGATAAATTTTTATCAACAATTAGAAAACAAATATATTTTGAATATATTTTTCAAATATATTTTTCAAATATATTTTTCAAATATATTTTTCAAATATGTTTTTCAAATACCTCACTGAGATAATCCTGTTCACATGAGATTAATTTTCATTTTTTGTAGTAGAGAGATCCTCCAATTTCCTGGATATGGTGGATTTCCAAACATTCTTACAAGATGTCTTTATGTCAGAAGGGCTTGATTTAGGTAAGGAATCTCAATATTTAGCATATATTCTCTGTTTAAAAACTGAGATTCTCTTTCAATGCAAGTTTCATCCAAGTTTTCTTGCTGTGGATCAAGCCCTGTATGCAACCATTACCATAATTTCACTGACATGGTTGATTTTCTTCTCCGTGCAGAATCAGATGAGCACGAATCATTAGGGCATAGAACACTACGATCTTCCTTTAGCCATATACAAGGTCACATACATGAGGTTTGTATAATGTCAATTTTTACAGTAACATATGTGGTGTTCAGTTGCACAGACAAGACATGTAACCTTTTTATAATTGCTTAAGATATGCTATTGATGACAAATTCCAGTTAAATTCTAATGTCCAACATGATTGACTGGAAAGCTTATGAAGAGCTGGTTAAGTTGTTTTCATTTTTCTTTAAATTGTGGTATTGTTTTTCTTACATTTTTAGGTGATGCACAAAGTGGAGGTCTTCTATGTTCTCTGTTTGTTTTTGACTGGAAAGCACAAGTTGATTGTAAGTTGAAATTTTCGTTATAGCAAAAGTTTTAAGGTAGACAGACAGTTGACAGAGTTTCATTCAAAGAACTGAGCACCGAGATACCTTTATGATCTTAAAATAGAAGTTGACAGTTTACATACAGTCTGGTACAGAGAGTAATCCTTCATTGCAGGGATATTAATTTCTCTTTCATTATTTTATCTTATAATTATTTATTTATTTTCAATCTTTGCTACAGGTTCAGAAGAAGCTGTCAGAAATGAGACTGATTCCTGGAATGAGCCAGTTATTTGACAAAATGTCATGGCTGAACGAAACAGAAAGAATGTAAGCATATGTACTATGCTTTTAACCCTTTAACTAAGTGATGAGAATATAGAAAAATATCAGTCAGGGGAATATAAGCTGATCCAATACCAAATTCTCCAAACTAGTAACATAAGAACTGTAAGGCAGACAGTAAGGAGAATTACTAATGAGATCTTGGGAGTTAAAGGGTCGACTTTTTTACTTTTTTGAGTGTACTTGAAGACATAACTGACATTGCACAAAAACTTTATCAGAATTCAAATCATGTTTGATGTAACTCTGTATCAATTGGTGAATGGGTTGGTCTTATTTTTATTTTGTGGTAGAAAATCTTAATTTATATTTCACTAAGGAACATGTAAGTACCAGGTACAGTTAAAAGAGGCCAAAAAAGCTCATTTAAATGATGCAATGTTCCTCATTCTCTAGGAATCAAGATTTAATGGACTTAGAGATTGCAGATCATGAGTGTACACCGGTAAGACCACAATTTGCTATTAATTTTTAGATGTTATTGACAAAATGACATAAATGTTAAAACACATTTTTATTGATTTCTTTTGTCCATGAGTCTGACGTTCTCATTGGTTCAACATATTTCAGCAAACCGCATTGAAGATTCAGTTCCTACGACTAGTTCACAGTTTCTGTGACAGACATGAGTAAGTTTATTTTGTTTTCTTACAAAAGGCAGTTTTATGAGTAGTATTTGTTTATCTTTAATTCAAAATTGACCTTTTTTGTCTTTTTGTAGGAATAAGCATCTTCTTTTAACGCCTAGGGAAGTTGATGAACTTCAAGAGTTATATGGTGAGTTGGGCTTCCAAGATGACAGTTAATTCTCTTTACTACAGCCAAGTGTTTCTTTAATTAAATGATTTTAGCTTTGAGGTTTTGGTGTTGGGTCAAACCATACCCACAATTGATATTTCTTGTTTTCTCATCACCTTTCTGCACAACTATTTACTGATGTTGTAAGGAATAATAACTTATTGGTCATCTGTTAGAATGAATGGTTTGGAGAAATTTAACCATAAAGAACTGTAGTATGACTGTGCATGACATTTTTTTTCTTTTCTTTCTTGTTTTCTCAGTTCAAAATGACCTTGAACTCCCTGAGAGTTTGACAAACACTAACAGGTTTGTGATTTTTTTAAATTTTTTGTCTAAAGATTAAATTTATACATTTAGGATGATGTTTTGATTTGTTGGTTGGGTGTCCTTTTCGAAGAAGAAGCTAATTAATTATACAGTTTTTCTTTCTCTTTGGTCATCAGCTATTAACAACTATTAATATTTTTAATCTTACAGAAAATTGTGTTGTACTGGAGAAAAAGGACTTCTCTCAAAAATTCTAGAAACACTGATCAGATGTCCCCCTACTGCTCCACTTAGGTAAGTTAGCCTTTGATCCCTTAGGGTAATAAGCTTCAAATTTCTCCTTACAATGTCACCTCTGAATCACACGAGAATAAAGGAAAGGATAACTTAAGAAGTTGTTGATCATTATACAAATTCCCCTTGTGGCACCTTAGGAAAAATAATGAGAACAGTATGAAAAATATGGCTACTGATCATAGCGAACTTGTAGGTCTATGGTTTGGTTCCTCTTTAATTCAAAATTTTACCATCTTTCCTCTTCTATGTACTGTTTATTTTCCTGTTCAGGTTCACACTGCCAGCGAAATCAAGTTGCCTGTTCAGGGCGTGAAATTAACTTTTTTTTCTGATAGCCACTTGGCTCCTAAATTCTACAAAGTGGTAACCAATTCAAAAAAGTTGATCGCCATTTTCAAAGACAAACAAAATCTTTCTTTACGCTGTCAGCGTTCTAGATAGACCCTCCAAAATTAAGTTAGGGAAAAGATCTTTAACGTGCTACAAAGTGGACACTAGGATGTATGATATACAACGTTCAGGCTCATCTAAATCCAAGATGGCGTCTAGTTATCGATCGGGATGCATGTGCTACGTTTCGGAAACAAACTTAACGAGGAAGTTTGCCGCGGATTTATCTTTGCAAATTTATTTAATTCACTATATCTCTTAGTAAGGTTATGATGAAACGTTGTAGTCGCCAATTTGGCGACTAACTTTCAGGATTTGGTCGCCAAAGTGAAAAATTTATTCGCGTTGGCGCCTGTATTAGGCGCAATTTCACGCCCTGCTGTTAGATTCATCTAACTTCTATGTCAAATTTTCCCTTAGATTTTGGCTGTCAAGAGCAATTGAGGGATTTCTTCGTGGCAGAGCATCAGTTGGCGATCAGCTGTTTCTCATCAAAAGAGGCCTTCTTGAGGTAAGTTTTTTCCCTGATTAATCTCATTGACAACATATGAAAGTACCCAAGAGCTGGTTAACCCTTTAACCCCTAAAAGTGACTAGCATCTAATTTCTCCTTAGAACCACCCCTCAATGAAACATTAAGGTCATGAGAATAAAGGAAATGATCACCAATGTTTGTCATAATTTTAAGGAAATAATTCAATATTCTTCCCTTTTCAGCACCTTGTTGATCACATCACAAGTGAGGAACTGAAACCAAAAGAGATTCTTCAAAGTAGCTTTGATCTTCTGGGAGAGTTAATGAAGTTTAATCAATTTGCCTTCATAAGATTTGATCAGGCAATCAGTACAAAACAGGTGAGTAAACTTGTGATTAATTTTGATAAATGAAAACAGTTTTTCTGCTAATTTTTTTTGTTGTTTATCTATAATTTTTTTGGTGTGTGAGGTGGTTTTATTTGTGAACATTTTTAAATTGAAGGTAAATAGGTTGATGTTATTTTGTCACTTTTACAGTTTTTAGTCCATCATTAATTTTTACTTTATTGATTTGCAGTTTGAGAAGTTTGTGGGCATCTTGACATCAAATGTTGTGGATTCCAACATGTTGATTCGCTGTTTGGTGCTTTCTCAGGAACATTTTTTGTCAAGTCCTTTGGCAGGTAAAGCTCAGAATTTTTTATACCCTGGTCAAAACTGTTTCATTCTTACAATTAATCACTGAGTTGTTGGTGACTCATGTTTTCATTGTATTCCTCTCTTTACAAAAGATTTTACAGCTGGAGCTTTCAAGCTTGGCTCACTTATTAGCAACTGGGAACAGATGATCTTCCTTCTCTACAAGTTGATCAACTCCATTACCGTGGGAACACTGACACAAGTAAGTGTTTTTGAGATAAGTTCAAGTGACAGATATTGTTGTTTTCACAAATCAATTATACTTGAAACAATGTCCTGACTCCAAAATGGCTGAGTTATAATGAAACAAAATTGATATGATGAAATTTTGTTTCACCAAAAACTAAAGACTAAACTGCTTGTACAGTTCAATCTTACCTTGATCATTTTTATGTTGTGAAGCTTTGCTGTTCTTAGAACTGAGGCACCTTGAGTTATGGATAGAGCAAGATTGATAACAGACTTATCAATCATCATTTGTTTTCCTTCTCTCTCAGGAAAATGTGAGCTGCCTCAACACAACCCTTGTTTTCTTGATGTTTGCACACAGACATGGGAAACTTCCAGCATATCTTATGGTAAGTCAGTTGATCAAATTTTCTGTTGGGTGATTGATACTTTTGTGCAGAATATGTAATTAAAATATTCTTTCTTTTTAAAGCTTTTGCACCCTAACATCAGTGTGCATATTCTCCATACTATTTTTCTTTACATTTTTTATTTACCTGATAAGGAGAATTTTTTTGGCAGTCAAGAGGTCCTTTAATTGGTGATCACATCTTATATTCTCATGATCTTAATGTTTGACTATTATAAGGAGAAACTGGAGTTAGAGTTCTCAATTTGTTGGAGCCAGAGTTCTCCCAATTTATTCACTTGAAAAATGTTTAAGTTCACTCAGTTCATTCAATATGTTGCTGTGGTCATTCAGCCCCTCAGACAGCATTGAAATTGCTTTTGATTGAAAATAACTTTTCTCTTCATGTCAATATTTTATTGTAAAAAGTTAAATGTTGCCTTTTTTTGCAGGCCTTTGTTAGAGAAGAGAACATTCAGAAGAATCCAGGATTTATTCTGACAAACTTAAGGTTGGTTTTGTGTCATTCGCTGTAGTAATCAGTGGCTGTTGGTTATAAATCAGCTTAAGGAGAAGACACATGTTTTGTTATCTACCTGAGTATTGATACGAAAAGATAACTTTTTCCTAACAGAGTAATTTGTGTTTTTTAAAGATAATATGACATTTTAAATGCAAAGAAAAGTGATTTTAATGGTAAATTCTGAACCCTTGCTCAGGAGAAACTTCTTTAAGAACAGTTTTTACTGAAAGGCTGCTAAAAATGAGAAAAGCAAAATTATTTTTAATGAACAAGAGAGTAATGTTGTTTGTTGGGATTTTTGTAGACTCCTTTTGGAATTCTGGAAGACACACTACTTGAAAAGAGGAAAGGATTGTTCAGCTCTAGAACAGGTGAGATTTTTGCTTTTATTTTGGCTATGTTACTACCTTGTGTTATGTTTAGGTGATATTTTTATTGAATGGCCTGCATGGTGAATTATTGTACGCAAATGCTAATTTTTTTTATTTGCTCTTAAATTCTGCGTGTGAATTTTACTTGTTAAGTATAGAGGAAACTTTTTTAATAATTTTAGAAATGTTCAGCTGAAATTTTATGTTAAGAAAAGAGAGATCTTTTTCCACTGTTTTTAGAATTCTGTGTTAGCATGTACTAGCATGCATGACTTAATTTAAAATTCTCTTCTTTTTAGAGTTCCTGTATCAGCTTTGATCATTGGAAACAAGTTGTTGATGTTCTCTTGTCAGACTCAAGTTACAGCACATCAGTCCTTCATTACCTACCATCATCTTGCATGAGGGGTTCATAACAGACAGCTGTCAATCAGAATGTAACAAATTTGCAAAATACACCAAATAAAGCCTATCAGTTATAAAATGGGCTTTCAAGCAGGTCTTGATAGTTTAAAGCAGAATAGATTTTCTCTATATGGCAGGAATTGTAATTTTATTCCCCCATTTTTAATCACAGAATGGATTGTGATGATGAAGGTCTTTCAAAAAGAAATTTATATTGTGATATACAAAGCATTAAAAATATTAGGTCAGTACCAACCAAAAAAAAAACAGAAAAACAGGAAGGTTTTGAATGTTCTTGTCAGTAAATTATTGTGTAACATGGAAGATTTGTGTGCATTGCTCAATCATGCTCAAGAAAGAAAGGTGTGTTAATACATTTTATAGGTTTTGGGAATGCATATTGGTTTTTTGTGAAAGAAATGTGTCATTTGAATGGACAAATTGCTTGTGAAAAAGAGATTTTTGAGTGGTGTTTTGTAAAATCACTCACTGTCAGGCCAGTTGTAAAACAGACTTTAGTGTTGTAATGGTCAATGAATATACAATGGTTTTGTTTCTATCTTAGTATGGCATATGACTCGTTTATTCAAGTTACAGGCTGTAGATAAGTGCTTTTAAGAACATTTTACATTTCTAGAACAACTGAAAAATATGTTGGGCTAGAAATTTGCTGTGAAAAAATATCAAAATGTAGGGTTACCCTTCATTACCAATCCCTGAGGGGTTTGAATTTTTTATCATTGGTTTATGATGGTTATGAAGGTAGCTAGAGGTAGCATTTATAATAGTGTATTTATTGTTACATTATTGCAATGTATGATAAACAATCTTAGTCTTGTAAAATATTAAATTATTTTTATGAATTATTTTTTGTAAGACTTGTACATTCGGCTAGAAATTTTAATAAATGTCTAATCACTGGTGCAAAAATGGTTCTTTGTGTTTGAGTTTTGTACAAATTCAGAAGTATTTGTTAAGTTTACAGATTTTATAACGTAGAACTTATAAGAAAAATTATCGGTTTCACTATTTGTCAAGGTGTTTTTTCGATTCAATCCCTTTCCAAACGGCGTGCACAGGAGATACCTGAAAACGCGTTTTTTCTCGGAAAATGTATCGAATGTTTCCTCTCCACTATGAGAAACGGACAAGGAGTTTTCGACCAGCTGATATAGTGTGAAAACGCAACAATTAACAGTGTGTCACCACCAAAGAACGAATGAACAAAAGGCTAACGCTTGCAACGTCAGCCGAATTTACGTTATTATGACTCGGTTGATAATACTAAGTTACCCAGTTCTGGTCTACCACCGACGAAGCACCACAATTTCTTTAGAAACTTACCCCCTTTATTCATAAATTTAAGGACTTCAGATTTCGTTTTGAATTATATAGGAGAGTAGTTTTAAGCCTCGTTCGTATGAATCATTCAGAACGGTAGCCTTAATCTGTTAAAATTGTGTTTTCAAATTATCTTAAGCGTAATATAAACAACGTCTTGATGTTATAAATAGTGGTAATAGGACCGAGTGGAGTCCAATTCGGTCTGTAATCATACAGGTAATTAACAAATCGGACGAGCGCGAAGCGGGAGTCTGATTTATGAATCATGAGTATGATCACTGACGGAATTGGACAAGAAATCCTGTAACCAACTAATCATAACCATTTCAATTTCCGAAAAAACAAATAAACCCAGAACAAGTATCTCCAATGGACACAACGTCTTATAGAAAATTCCTCCATTTGGAAAATTCTCAATTTTTCTTTGGATAAGTGGTTGTTGCTATGGTCATTGTAATCATTTCTGTGATGGTGGATTAGCTGAATGGACTTACTATGATTAGCTGCTTCAAATGTCCAATTACAGGTGTTCGATTGCAGCCAACTGTCCGATTACACTGTCGGATTACAAATGTACAGAATGAAATAGTGTAGTTTGATCGTCCGGGTGAGTGTAGTCCTGAGAAGGACTATTGTCGGTAGTGGTGACTGACGTTTCGACAACCTGAGCGGAAGTCATTATCAGAGTCAAGTGAAAGGTTGTCGAAACGTCAGTCACCACTACCGACAACAGTCCTTCTCAGGACTACACTCACCCGGACGATCAAACTACACTTTTACATGCTACCCCCGGGTTCAAACCATTTACTGTATTATGTACAGAATGATTAGTAAAAAAAAAGCTGCGAATCCACCAATAATATTTGAGGAATTTGTGATTGTTATGATTAAAGCTGAAGCAAGGAAATCACAAAGGCCCATTAAGACTTAAAAAATATCATAATAAAAGAAACATAGAGAACTATGATTTGGTACAACAAGACAGGTTCCAAGTCTGGGAAAGTATGTCGAGTTAACTAACAAGTCATCAACTGACAAACTATTATCAGTAAAGTGAGTAAAGACCAAAGGGCGAAAAACAGAAACAGACAAAACATTCTCCGTTTTCTTTCTCTTTTTATTTTATCAGCAAATAGGCAATTGTTACAAAGGAAACCCTCTGTTTCAAAGCACCTTAATTGTTACCAGTGCAAGCGGTTGAGCAGGAATGAATGTTCTGTTTCGAAATCTAATCTAATCTGATAATATAATTAGGGAAATCATGTTTCGCTGAAGACTTTTATGCAGGATAGATTTTTTAGATCTAAGACTGAGGTGTGGGCACTTCCGCTATAAAGATCCGGGACACTGAAATATATCCTGTGTAGGCATTGGCGTTGCGGTATCCACGACAATTTCCTACCCAGAAACCCACGCGCACCTTGCCTTTTTTGATTTTGGTACAATGTCCCTCAATGTGACGCACACTGTGAATATTTTGGCTCGTTCCACCTCCCATCACAATTCCATCAATCGGTTGGGGTGTCTTACATTCAACACCGTTGAAGGTAAAGTACCAGCGTTTGCAACACCCATTACAGCCAGCGATTCTGAGAGAACCGGTCCAAAAGACTCGAAGAGCTGTGCCCGATAAATTTTTGCTAAATACGCAGTCCTGTCAAAAAAAAATTTAAAACGAGTCAGTCTTTCAGAACTTGTCATGTCAATTAGTGATAAAGTTTTTCTGGCCTTTCCACTAACTTTTCTCAATAAAGTGAGAAACTAGTTTAAAAATAATGAAAGACATGAGCTAGAGACTTGAGCTACTCGCCTTGATCATTCCATTGTCCTTGTCGTCATTCAAGTTGTTCCAAGCACATTCTTTCCAGTTCTTGTGCGAAATCGCACCAGGCATCCCAGGGATTCCATTTGCCCCACCCTCTCCACGCTGCCCCTTTTGACCGGGAGGACCTTGGATTCCAGGTTCCCCTTTAGCACCTTGATTACCTTGGGATCCTGAGGGTCCCTGGGGTCCAGTCTTTCCTAGATTTCCTTTGTCACCTTTGGATCCTTTTCGTCCATCACGACCTGGTGCTCCAGGAGGCCCAGGCTTTCCACGCGCACCAGGTATTCCGCCATAATAAAAGGATTGAGGTTGCTGGAGGAAAAAGTAATCTATAATATGATCTTATAGGTAACAAGGGGAATAAACTAGAACAGAAACCACAGGAAGAGGGGTAAAAGAAATTAGTGGAATAAAAGGGATAGGGAAAGCTATAGAAATATATATTGAAGCAATCACAGATCAAGAAGAGTAACAGCGAATAAATAAAGCACAGAATCTGAGATAGGGAGTAATAGCAAATACAGACGGAACAAATGGAAAAATCAAAATCAACAACAGGAAAAAAATGAATAAGAAAAATTGCAAAATTGAAATGAACTGCAAGAATAAAAGGAATAAAAGAAATCAAGATGAGCTACATGACAAAGGAGAAAAAGAGAAGTTGGAAAACTTGAAGGAACTACAGGAATAATTGAGAAAAATAACAGAAATACAAAAAAAAACCGAAATTGATAAAAAGAGCAGAATAACAGACATGAAAAAAGTTAAAGCAGGGAATAAGAAAAATAAGAGTGATTCAAAATTTTAAATAAAAAAATGAAAAGTAAAATGACAGAAGTAGAAAAACTAAACTAAAAAAAGAAGAGGAACGGAGATAAAAGCATTATAATGAAAAAAGAAAAAATATAATTACAGAAATCATAAAATTAAAAAGTGGACGAAAGGAAAAAAGCAGATATAATAAAAGAGATTACAACAATAAGGTGAATCATGGGATTGGAATAACAATGATTGCAGGCAAAAGAAGGGTAAGAAATAATAAATATAAAAAAGAAGACATTAAATTAAAAGTAACAATCAACTGGAGGAATGAGGAGAATAACAGAAATTACAAAATGTAACTGAAATGATGACAATTAAAGAATTAAGATAACTTTATGAAAAGAGAATACTAATAGAATTTGTGGAAATGAAAAAAATAAGTTAAAGATAACTCAGATTAAACATATAAGTTTAGGCCTATATGTTTTAAACGCTCTGAACTAACTTGAACTGCGCTACTTCTATTCCTCGATATATTCAGTAACGTCATTGTAATCTTTAATTAATTAGACAAAAGTTCATATTAAAAATATGTCCTGTGATAGAAACTCTTCGCTGTGGTTTAAAGCTAGATTGAAATGGTAGGGTCGTTTTTTGGTCGATATTTTCATAACTTACCATTTTGTAGATCGGTTGATTGGTTTTGCCTGCTGCAACGAAGGAAACCAGGAATAACAATGTAAACAGAAAAAACAAAGGAGTGACGTACACGTGTCGCTCTTTAGCCATTTCTGTTTAGTCAGTTGACGTCACCTTAAAATAAAGCAAGCCAACGTGTAGGTGAGTTAAAGTTACTTGACGGATTAAAACGATATTTTCTTCGAAAACGGTCCGATCCGATATTGCTTCTAATATTCGAGAAAATTATTTCGATTCGTGTTTTTTTACTGAATCATTTAATGAAATGACTGAGCTATCTTTTTAAACGAAACTAAGGTAGATGCTTGAGATTCGCGACTGTACAAACAACTGTGAAAGAATGGTAATAGTAATGTTATTTTTGAAGATGCATTGAGCAATTTTCAAGTGAGTGTTGATAGTAATCTAGAAGTACCATGGTTTTGTATATTAATAGGCCTTTTGATTTGTCGGGAAGACTCGCGTGATACTCAGATCTCCAACCACCATATGCATAACGATATCAAATCACGACATTGTCGCTCGCATTTTCTTGCGCTTTGGGCCGATTGCTGTTTAGATTCTAACTGGATCCATAGGCTTGTTCCATTTGTCCTGATGGCCCTTGTGGTTACTTTAGCTTTGGTTTTGTAAAAACTCAATCGAACTGTGCTCTGATTGTGTCGAAGTTACTAACAAGTTTTAGTTTTCCATTCTTTCCAACATCACGAATAAAATGACTTGTATAGTGCCTTTTTTTTAAAACTACTTCGAAAAAATATTAATCTTGCCCAGTCACCTTAATACCTCTTTTTTGTTTTTGAGTTCTCTTTCACTCTCATTTGTCCAACTTCACAAAATAGCTCTCCAAGCTATGAATTTTTCGTAAAAACCCCAAAAAATGAATGCAGAAGAGTGCCAGCATTTAAAAAGCCGAAAACGGTCTCGATGAAAAAAATTTGTTGATAGCGCACAGGGAGCTTTGATCTTAAAAAACGTTACACCTTGAAAACCCAATGGGAAAAAAAAAGGAACTAAGGAAGACAAAATCTTACTTTGTACCTTTAGCTTGAACTTTTTCTCTTTTCTTCGATAACCGTAGCTCTCTAAGGAGTCACTATTATGGAATATGGAAAAACTTTACTTTATTTATGTTGATTCTGGTTCGTGTTCGGACCGGTTCATCATTGTTTACTCTTGGAGCATGCTTGTTTAATAAGCGTATTATATTAGAGACAATGTCTATGTCGATTGCTTTGTCTGTAACCAACTCATTTAAAGTATTATCTGCATGACTAAACAAATAAAATTTATAATGAAGTTCGAAGCTGAAAAAGAGGTTTCGTCCGCATTGACAGGAAGAACATGAAATTGGTATGGTGGTTAACACGAAGCAGTAGGGTATAATCCGCACAATCTTAATCTTGATTTAACAGCGAGACTGTCTTGATTTGGTTGACCTAAAGTAATATGAACTGCTTGCCATCCTATTTACTCAGCTGGTTATACAGCTAATGACATTCCAGAGGCTATAGGGCTCATCCTGCTCGAGAGAAATGATATCTATAGCTAAGCATCCGACGAAATGAGAGGACTAGAAATTTTTCAATTAAGCTACATCAACCTTTCGGAATTCCTGCAAAAGACAAAACGTTTTGGGTCAGTTATATATAATTGTTCAAAATCACCGTGAATATCGATTATTTTACCTCTGAGTTGTTCATGTCTAGCAATTCAGGATACTTTGGTGGATGCTTTCATTGACAGTTCAAAGAATTGTTTTCATTGAGAATAAAACACAAAGTGCGTAGCTCTTTTTATAAGTGAATTAGGAGATGAATGAGTTGGTCAAAGGTTCTTGAATCCCAGAGTTGTTTACGTATTGAAGACTTATAAACATGCAATTATTTCTGTTGTAATGGCCCGCTTTGACGTCAGCTTAATGAAGCTTCAGTACTGACACTTTAAGGACAACCGTACATTGCAAACCGAATCAAGCAGGATGATGTCGATTGATAACTAGAAGAAAGTCAGTCAATATTGACGAAGCTTTATGATATAGAATCTGCATACTTGTTAAAAGCTTAAAAGCACATCAGTTTTATTTCGTTGGTTGTTTGATTCTTGAGCACGCCTTATGCTCAGATCGAGCCCCGCCACTGGATTATTTCGTAATCAAAGAAACCAAAATTGCAGAGGGTAAATTAAAGTGGCACAATAAATCCCTTATTCTAAAGTTAAACATATAATTCGAGTGGTAATTTTGCTCGTACTTTTTCTCCCTTTCGCATACTTTATCTTAAAACATCGCATGAGGAATACATGTTGCACTGAAATAGAATTAATGGAAAATTATTAAAAGCTTATAATAAAAGATGATTTAAAATTAAATGTACGATTTAAGAGGAACGAAATTACACCTCTACATTCTTCAATCAAATTTCGCTGAGGCTTACGGATGTTATCTCTTTTAATTCTTAAGAATGTCTGCCGAAGTTCAACAGAACAGGCTCGTTTTTTGTGAAACACGCATTATCTGAATTACCTGCGACATATGTATCAAATTCATCTACATTTTATTGGTGCAAGATATTTAGTGTTGAGTATGTTTTTAAAAGTAATGTTTTGTATGAGTAGACAAACACCGGATAGAAAACAATGAACCGAGAATGCATCAAGATTAAGGCGGGATACAATCAACTCAAGCAAAAACTCTCAAACTTGAAATATTTAGCTAAATTTTACGAAATGTATGATTCTTGCTTAATACCTTATCCATATTCATCCGGCTTTAGATGTAACTTTGTCACTTTTTCGTTTTGTTAATTGATCAACGGTTGTCAACGATTTAACACCTCTTCTTTGAGCGTTTTGGAGGATATTTACCATAGTTATTTAGGGGAGAAAATTATATTTGGGGTGTATTTATTATAGAAACTTAAAGAATGAAGCCTCCAAGCATCAGTGGTTTCTTTTTAATGAAGCATTTTCTGCCTAAAAAATATATGCCTCGGGTTAAAAGTAAATGCAACCTCATATTAGTATGTGCATTCTGACCGAGCCCATGTCAGTAAGTCGTAGCCCTAGCGAGTAAACTAAAACATTTACGATTGAATTATCAGTAGAAAAAATTAAAAACATTGCAAGAGGGAATTCAAAATCTTAAGCAGGTAAGCATTCCCAACTGTGAAAAAAATCATCGTGGCGGAAAGCTGGAGGAGGGGCCTCGGGAAATTGGAAAGTCCTCTCATCCTCATCATATCAACACAGAGTACCAGTAAAACTGAGGCGTCGAGGTATTTTGCTGACCAAACTGCCCTCGACCTTTTTCCCTATACGCCCATGAGTCAGTTTCTTTTACTTTGGTTTGAAGTCGGTTTTTGTTTATGCATACGAGGCGAAACTATAACACACCCTCTGACAGAATGCAACAATGATTCAAATTATGAGGTTTTCAAATGCTTTATTCACTGATATCAGACGTGGAAAATTGCAAAAAGGACTTGGACACAATTATATCTCCTAGTTATTGGAAGCCGATTAATATATGATCGACTCCTGCTGCTAACTTCATCTAAATAACTCGTCAGAATATAAGTAATTTTCGTTCTACGTGTTTATACTGGACTATGCGAAGAATCGTCAACCTAAGGCTGAGGCGATAAAGATCCGGGACACTGAATTCCAACCCGTGTTAGCGTCAGCGTTTCCCAAACCGGGACAATTGCCAACCCAGAATCCCACGCGCACCTTTCCTTTGTGGACGTTGTTACAGTGATCCTCAATATGGCGGACACGGTGAGGATTCTGCGCTGCCCCTCCTAGGTACACAACGCCGTCAATTGGTAGGGGACCTGAACATTCAGCACCGTTGAAAGTGAAATACCAGCGCTTACAGCAGGTGGTGCAGCTAGTTACTCTAAGTACTCCGGTCCAGTAGACATGCAGGACAGTGTCAGAAAAATTCTTGGTGAAAATGCACTCCTGTAGGTAAGAAAATAAAATTGAAGTAATTAATTTGGCAAAAGAGACTGAAGAGTGGTTGAAAGCAGATAAGAATTCTCTGCCGCTGACGCAGTTTGCATCTTTTAAGACCATGATCGATACTGATACCAAATAATGTGGCACGAATAATTAAATAAAAGGACTTCCGTTTCTTTGAAAACTAATCTGGCTTTGACTAGTTTTTACCTTGATAAGCCCTTGGTCCTTGCTGTCGTCCAAGTTGTTCCAGGCGTATTCTTTCCAGTTTTTAAAAGGCATAGTACTTGCCCGAATTATCCCACTTTCTCCACGTTGCCCCTTTTGGCCAGTAGGACCCTGGATTCCAGGCTCTCCTTTATTACCTGGAGGTCCATGGCGTCCAGTTCTGCCTTGGCTTCCCCGATCCCCTTTGGCTCCGTCACGTCCATCTCGGCCGTCACGACCTGGTAACCCAGGGGACCCAGGCTTGCCGTGCATACCTGGTATTGCGGCGTTACAGCTGGAAGGACTTTGCTTTAAACATGAAACAACATTGATATGTTAAGAAAGCCAGGAAACAGAGACGGTCTCCGCGAGAACTAATACAAACAGTTTATAGCAGTAATGCAAGACTAAGTCTCGAGATTCCGACCTCAGACCTTCGGATCTCGCGGATTTTACAAACTGGACTACAGAGGAATCGTCCACAGATCAGATCATATATCAGGTTCATCTTTCAAAGACTAACCACCTGTTATTTTTAAATTTATCACAGGATATAAGTGAGGCTTCACGCACCACAATTTCTTGTAATAATCGAGTTTATCGAAAATCTGATTTCTATGACTAGTAGTGATTCCTTTTTGTATCATTTTTACTAGTAAGTGCTTTGTTTCATATCTGGCTTATCAAATCAGTGAGGGACGATCAGTTCCAAGCTGAAACATTCTCGAGCAAAGAAGGAAACTGCGTGAACTTTTTCATTTTTTTCAACACCGGCTGCACTCTTGATATGACGGTCTGTTGATGTCAGATGCACAGGATAACATTAAGGCCAAATTACATTTCTTAACTCTCCATCTCAAACCCTCGATCACGACAAATTTTTTTCTGAAAGACATTCAGTTATCTAAGACTTTACCATGGGTTGATTGTCGGTTTGTTTCCCGCTGATGATTTCTGTGATAAGGTGGAGTGTAGCCAGAAGTAACAGCAACAAAGTTGCTTTGAACATGGCGACCAGGTGGTTATGTAGGCTAAATTTGAACTCAGCCCTGGTGATACAGGCTTTCTCCGGTTATATGCCTGTGGAAGAACAATGGTTGCATTATGTTGCCCAGTGAACCATCTCTTTGATTTTTTAGCATCTTGATCGATTTTCTTTGAGAGTCTTATTTGCCCCTATTTCAATTACTTTTTAAAATCTTTTGACATAATAAGAGCAGTTTCTTCTTCTCCGAAACGACACAAAAATAATTATTCTTTATGTGATATCATTAACTGCATGAGCCTATTGTAATGACGATGTATCACTAAGAGCTTTTCCTCAAACATTCTCTCTTGGATAAGCAGGAGCCCTAAAGCGAAGAATGGAAAGGAAGAAAGGTGTTTTAATTGAACATAAAAAGGAGAGTTACGTAAAAGAGAAAACAACCTACCTTACTTTTCGTGAATTTTATGTATTGCAAGGGTATCCTCTTCAGCGGGCGTACCACAATGAGGTGATGAAGTCGTCTATACTTACTATTCGTGAATTTTATGTATTGCAAGAGTATCCTCTTCAGCGGGCGTACCACAATGAGGTGATGAAGTCGTCTATACTTACTATTCGTGAATTTTATGTATTGCAAGTGTATCCTCTTCAGCGGGCGTACCACAATGAGGTGATGAAGTCGTCTATACTTTCTATTCGTGAATTTTATGTATTGCAAGGGTATCCTCCTCAGCGGGCGTACCACAATGAGGTGATGAAGTCGTCTATACTTACTATTCGTGAATTTTATGTATTGCAAGGGTATCCTCCTCAGCGGGCGTACCACAATGAGGTGATGAAGTCGTCTATACTTACTATTCGTGAATTTTATGTATTGCAAGGGTATCCTCTTCAGCGGGCGTACCACAACGAGGTGATGAAGTCGTCTATACTTACTATTCGTGAATTTTATGTATTGCAAGTGTATCCTCTTCAGCGGGCGTACCACAATGAGGTGATGAAGTCGTCTATACTTACTATTCGTGAATTTTATGTATTGCAAGTGTATCCTCTTCAGCGGGCGTACCACAATGAGGTGATGAAGTCGTCTATACTTACTATTCGTGAATTTTATGTATTGCAAGGGTATCCTCTTCAGCGGGCGTACCACAATGAGGTGATGAAGTCGTCTATACTTACTATTCGTGAATTTTATGTATTGCAAGTGTATCCTCTTCAGCGGGCGTACCACAATGAGGTGATGAAGTCGTCTATACTTACTATTCGTGAATGTTATGTATTGCAAGAGTATCCTCCTCAGCGGGCGTACCACAATGAGGTGATGAAGTCGTCTATACTTACTATTCGTGAATTTTATGTATTGCAAGGGTATCCTCTTCAGCGGGCGTACCACAACGAGGTGATGAAGTCGTCTATACTTACTATTCGTGAATGTTATGTATTGCAAGGGTATCCTCTTCAGCGGGCATACCACAACGAGGTGATGAAGCCGTCTATACTGAGCGTGATTTGTTCATCGCCCATCACTCTTTCCTTTTTGTATGATTTATGCTGAAGCGTGGTTCGTCGGTTTCAATTTATTTATTCAAAATGCATGTGATAAGCATATATCTGATGCAAGGGCTACATGAAAAATGTTTATCTTCAGCACAAGATATGAACATAAACAGATGTCGCTCCTAAATTTCGTATTTTGTGGGGAAAGATTTGCTTATGATTGATTTCTAACCAAGACTTTGGCCATAACTCAAACTTGCAGTTGAAAGATGTAAATAGAAGCATTCACAACCACACGCTTTTGGAAGCGGCTAAGCCCATTATTCGTCCAATGTATAAGTTTAAAAACACACCAATCGCCGGCGGTGGACACTCCTGGGTACATCTTTACGTATTAAGGATGTTATGATACCATCAAAATATAAAAGGACCAATGCAATGACGTCAGTCTCGTACCACATTGGTGTGGAGGGTAGATTTAACCTAAAGCTTAGTCATACTTATCCATCTTGATAACTGTATTCGGGAAGCGCCGTTCAAGTGAATTATTCCTGCGGATTGAATGTGGACGGTTAGTCTTACCTGTTAACGAGTCATTATCAGCAAAGTAAGTGGACGCAAAGGAAGCAAAACAAAAACAGACACAACATTCTCCATTTTCTTCCTTATTTTTATTTTATCAGCGAATAATAATTGTTACAAAGCAAACCCATATTTCAAAGAACATGCCTTTACTTTTACCAGTCCAAGCGTTTATATAGGAAAGAATGTTCTGTTTCGCAATCTAAGCTTGTGCTTTCGGGATTTCTTCGACATAGATCCGCGACACTGATTGCCAGCCAGTGTAGGCATCGTAATCATTTCGGCTGTTTGACTGACAATTACCGACCCAGAACCCCACGCGCACCTTGCCTTTGTGGATGTTGTTACAGTGACCCTCAATATGGCGGACACGGTGAGGATCTTGAGACCCAGCACCACCGAGGTACACAATGCCGTCAATAGGCAGGGGACCTGAACATTCAGCACCGTTGAAGGTGAAATACCAGCGTTTGCAGCAGGTGGTGCATCTATAGACCCGAAGGGTTCCAGTCCAAGAAACGAGAAGAGATGTGTCGGAGAAGTTCTTGGTAAACACACACTCCTGTGTAAAAGAGTGACCAGAAATTAAGAAAAGAATCACAATGAACCCAAGATAAATAAATGAACTTAACATGGAATTTGTGCAATTTCAGGAGGAACTTTTAAGCTTGGCTGTTTTGTTGGGATAAATTAATATTATTTGCAAAAAAAATTAACAGAGGTATAGTATTCTTTAAAACATACTCTAACCTATTCTTTCGTCTTACTGTCATAACTATTTACCTTGATAAGGCCGTGGTCTTTGTTGTCATTCAAGTTGCTCCACGCACACTCTTTCCAGTTCTTAAAAGACATCATACCGGGAGTCACAAGGATTCCGTTTACCCCACTTTCTCCCCGCTGCCCCTTTTGGCCGGGAAGACCCTGTACTCCAGGTTCTCCTTTAACACCCAGAGTTCCCTTGGGGCCAGGAGGACCCTGTGGTCCAGTCTTCCCTGGGCTGCCCCGGTCGCCTTTAACTCCTTCTCGTCCATCACGGCCGTCACGACCAGGTGCCCCGGGGAGCCCGGGCTTTCCGTGCATACCAGGTATCCCCGCATAAAAGTATGGAGGATGTTGCTGGTTTGAAAATGAAACATTAATGAAAAGTTAGGATTAGGAGACGTACCTTGGCGCAGTCAGGCTTGTATTAAGCGGTCACCAACGGGGAATGGCGAAGTGACCACTGAATACAGGTTGACCGCTAAATAAAGGTTCCACAGAATACGAGTATTGTTAAAACGAAAAAACACCATTTTATGTCATAATTGACAATTCAATGTAAAAAAAAAATCGCTCAGAAAGACTACTTACATTGATTTCGGGAGACAAATATGAACGCTTTCGGGATTATGAAAACCAGCCGCTTAACACAGGGTGATCGCTTTATACGGTGTCGAGAACAAGTTTGAAGGTTTAAGCTCCCCTTTTTTCTATCGCTCTTAGGCGTTTCAAAAGATCGTGAAATCTTTTCCGAGAAATATAAAAACCCGCGTTTTTATATTTTTTTCTTTTCACGGTATTTTGTAGAATATATACTTGTGCTACAATCTAAATAGACATCTAGCGAAAACAAATATTTTCATCCTTTAAGCCCTTGATGTCTATTTCCTGTTACTAGAGTAAATATTGTAACTTTATGATTTTACCTAACGAACATTTTTGGATGTTTCTGAGCAACGAAGACTGTTTTCGGCCTTTTTAGCCTGAAACTAACATCTTCTTTTTTCCAATTTCGACTCAACGAGTTCACAAAGGTTTCATGGACATTTTACAGACATGGATCTAAAGTTTCACATTTTCTTTTATCTTTAAAAATTTAGTTATTGGTTTTCCCTCTTTCGTAAAGGAAAAAATCCTGACTTAATCCGAGAACTTTATCAGAGAAATGAAACAAATAAACTTGCCACTTTGGAGCTTGATGCTTGCGTGGATTTGTCGCCCGCAGCGAGACAGAAAACCAAAGAGGAAACCGCAAACAAAGAAATCCAGGATGTTGCTGTTTTCACCAACATTTTTTGTCCATAACCTTTTTGAAAATAAACAAACAATCAATTGCTCGGTAGATTTAGGAAATGTTTACCAGCTAAATTAATAGACCGGTAGTCCACAAATAAAATTAGAGGTAAAAACAGAAAACGATAGCTCATGCCGGCTGTTAAAGAAATCAAGCAATGAAGTGCCATTCGCATGATACAAAGTCGAAGGTACCCATAAACGTCAAGAAAGCTTCCTTCAGAGAGAAGATAATTCAAATATAAGCAAAGATATTAATATTTTTTGCATGTTTCACCTGTATTTTTCAATTAATTTGTAACTTCCTTTGGCGCGTAGAGGTTTCAACTGTATTGTTACATCTACAATGTTATTTCAAGCCGAAGAAGTTTCACGTTTGGATCAGCATTTTACTTAAGCGTGCCACAGCTTGTTCATGAAATCCCTCCCAGTAATAGATGATTTTGTGATCTTGAGAAATTCAAGAAAAAAATGGAGTTCTTACTTATCCTGTCATGTAAAACGCTTTTCTTAACTTTTAAGCTTCCATCGAGAAATTCAAGGGCGATAACTATGAAGAGGGTCTTTAAGGACGATCAGAGCGGCCTTACTTTCTTAACCATTCAAAAATTTTGATAATCCAAGAGCCACTATTCTAAAGAAGCAGTTTAAGTCGGTGAAGTTTATCATATATAAGCCGTAGATTACTAAACTAAATTTAAGAGGCCAGGGAGAAAACGTCTTCCGATCATTCTTTTGAGGAGATGATGTTCGTGCAAAATGTATCAAAATGATATCTGAAGAAAAGGTAGTTTCAAACGTCTATAGTCACCTTTGAACACAGCTTTGTTGCTTGCAGTTTTATTCCGAGTGCTAGCGCTAGGTCATACAATAAACTGGATTTACCTTTTTGTCTGTCCTCAGAATCTTCCAGGATATTAGCTAAATGGAAAGAAACAAGAGAAACTTTAGATTTCTTTTACAACAGGCAAATAAGAAAATCAAAATCGGTGGGAGCTGTCGCTTACATCTTAACACAAGAGTTTTTGGTCTTGTCGCTATTCACTGACTCAAATGGAATGAGCCTGGATAAAACGAGACAGTAAATGAAAGATCAAAAAATTACTTTCAGATGAAGACAATCATTCTTAAAAGGAAAATTATTGGCCAGACCAGTTTGTTTGTCTCTTATCTGTCCAATGAAATTAATTGTACAGTTGGACCCAAGCAAAACGCTTACGTGTCGTGAAGTCTGATGACTTAATTGAAATTTTGAATGTATGGAACAGATTGCCGGAAAATCTTTGTGTTCCGTCGGTTTTTAAGAGCGTATTTTTCAATGAAGTGTTCTTCCAAACCTAGATTAATTGAACTGGGATATTATACTCTTACCTGAACCAGCAAAAATCAGTCGAATCATAATACAGCTCGGATGTAATGCGCGCCGTCATTAGTTGAAAGAGCATGCTCTATCAGAGTATAAAACATAGAGCTGAACTAAAGCTTTCTGCCAAATTATACTATCCCGACCATTTCCTGAACTTCTCTCTAGCGTTATTTCGTTCATTGAGAGTGAAGTTTCCAAACAAGCGAGCCGGAAAATAGCACCAGAAGAACGAAACAAAAGTTTGTAAAAATGCTAAGAGCGGTAATTTACGTTATTATGACGTGAGCAGAAACGAAAATCTTCAAAGAGAAAACGAAATGGAGAGTCTGAGTTTTGAAGGTTTTCAGGCTTTACTACCGCGGCAAATATGATTCAAACTCAGTCCGCATCAAGCTCTTCTCTAATTTCAAAGTTTATCGGCATTCTGTTTTATTAAAATTTCATTCGTCGAGTGCTTCAGACCAATTATGAGAAAACCTCACCTCTAACGCTCGCTCATTGGTAATATTTACTAAGTTATGAAGGCTGGAGGACAACTGTTTAGTTTTGAGGTACACGAAAGAAGTGTAGGGAGAAACACGAGATGTAGTCGAGTCCTTTCTTACATATGCGGTATTGACCAGGCGTGAGGTCATGATGGCTTGATATTAGCCTCGCTCATTTTTTATTTTATTTTATTTTTTTTTGTGTGGAACTCGCCCCGTCTCGGTCCATGAGAACTCAATAAGTGGAATTATAAAGGACATTGTCAACTTTTCGTCTTACTCACCGAAGCCTAAGTTTTGAGCGCGTTGCTCGGAAAATCAAACAAGGAAATTCTGGTCTTTATCCATATAATGATAATATTTCATACTACCCGGCCGGCAAATAACATATCTGAAATTGTACAAAAGCAAGAGATGTAATATACGACTCATCATGTAACGGAGAATGCTCGCTGTTAGCGGGCCGACTCATAAAATACTGTTTGCACTGACGATTGCTTAAGCAACAGAACGCACTTAATATCGCTTTACCGACGTGATATCCCACGCGGGATGTTGGGAGAACACTAAATAAGTTTGTTTGCTCCCAAGATCTCATCAGAAATTCTCCCTACTGTTTGCCATAAAATTCTTATGATGTAAGCTCGGAGAATTTGTTACTGGATCTACCAATGATCCCCTAAATTATTTTTCTTTATTCTTATCACTTGTGTACTTGATATTGTAAGGATATTGAGAGGAGAAATTCTGTCTTGGTCATTCATGGGAGTTAAAGGGTTAAACTAATCGAGTGTTCTCCCAACATCCCACACTTGAGAAAATACCACACTTGAGAAAACCGTTTAAACCTGACGTACCCAACATTGACCTGACAAAGCTTTCCTTTTCCGTGGAATCCTCCTTCCTTTTGAGAACCTGGAAACATATAGGACATTTAAGAGAAGATTCGAGCTGAAAACGGTCCAAACTTTGCCAAGAATGTTGAAGAATGTGAAACCATAATCAAATGTATTAAAGTTCACAAGACAACCAGGTGCACAATCAGGCATGATTTGATGCTACTCTGGTATACTGATTGAGTGGATGGTTTTATTCAATAAATCTTTAAACCGGAGTAGCATTAAACCATGCCATAATCAAATGCCTTAATTTTGCTGGAAAAAAATAATCTGCACTTAATATGTCTTTTTTTTTATTTCTTTGCAATAAATTATCCAGGTGGAATATATAAACCCTACCACTTTTACTGGGTACTAAAAATAAAAAAAAAGTAAATGTTGAACACTTTTCTCCGTCAGAAAACTATGTTTTAAAAATAAATTGATGGAATTTCCATGACCATTAAGTCATGGCAGTCACCTGGCTAGCTTTAGCAAAGAAAAGAAGAGGTCTGTAAATTAGTATTTCTATCCAGCGCTGGATCCATTTTGAAATCACTAGTGATTCTTGTAATCTAGTTGGCTCTCTGCAATAGAATCTACTCACCAATCGCAATGTTGTTGCCTCAAATCGCATCTTTATCCCAGGAGGGGAAAAAGGTGCGATAAATTTAAACAACGAATCAGATATTGCAAGGGTTGTTTTGAGTGATCAGTCAAATTGCAAAGGTATAAAGGGTGAAAGGAAGGGCGAAGGGGGGGTGGGTAACATGGTTTTCAATGGAACGGAGGAGGGATCAGTCTTTGCTAATAGAGTATTAAAGGGGGCGATAAAAAAATTGTCTGCCTGAGAGCGTGGTTGTTCAGTGCGTAGCGTTATCCACCCTTCGAACAACCTGGGCCTGTAGAATACTACAGAGCCTTTGGGGGGATCTGGTAAATTTTCTTGTGACTCAACCAAAAGTTTTCCATCAAAATTTTTATTTAAACGAGATTCTAGGCGCGGAAAAGACTTGCCAGTACAATACTTTCAGCAGAAAATTGCGAAAACATCAGTTTGAACTCTGCTGATATGGATTTCGAATATTTTCCTTTAATCGTCCCTTAGAACAGACAGAATGCCTAACGATAAACTTGCGACTTAATTTTATAGCTTTTTAAGCAGTTTTGTCTTTTGTAGTTTTTTTTAGTCCACAAGTCTCGTGTCACTAAAATAGAATTTCTTGCGACTGCGTATTTCTTAGTACAAACTCTTAACGCTTAGAGCAATTAATTTCTCGTGTAAATCCTTGAGTTATTTCGGCTTTCATTTGGTTTTCCTTTTTCTTGAAAGTTGGTACATAATTGCCACAGAAACAT